AGCTGCCCCTGACCTCGCTGGGTAGGATTTTCCGCCGTGGTGCCGCGGACAAACGGGAGCGGAGCGCAAGGTGCCTCTCGGAGCCGCCGGAGGAAATGGCTCATTGTTAGCCCTGCTGAAAAAAAGACCCGAAAAATTACAATAATGAGGCCAGCTTCTATTTGAGGGTTTCCATGGGAAAAACAGGAAACGGAATCCTGTTACTTTTCTAGGGCTTGCTGCCGATAACGCCGTTTTTAGGACAGGGCAGAGAATGAGGAGGAGGAGCTGGGCACGGAGGCAGCCCCACCAGCGAGCCCTCTTCCCCCCTTCCTTCCTCTTGGGCCTGAGCCCTCGCCCCCCTCCTCGCAGCCGCTTTCCCCTCCAGCACCATGAATTGAAGCCGAGCCGAGCGTGTTGTTGCCGAGCCCCTGAGCATCCCCTGGCCTTGGGGGCCTGCCCGTGCCGGGGCTGGAGGTGGTGCCTGGAGCCCTCGTGGAGCTCGGCGCGTGTGAGCCTGGCCGGGCTGAGCTCCGTGTCCTGCCCTGTGCTCCTGCCATGGTGCCGCGAGCCTCAGGCTTTGTGCAGATGCCCGGGGGGATCCTGCCCCTGGAGACCCAGCCGTGGTGGTGCTGTGGTGGGGACCCCCCTAGGGCTGGGTGCCCCCAACACCTTCTGGAGAGCTGCAGCAGGCACCCGGGGCTGGGGAGTTGTGGAAAAGGGAGAGGGCTCCATGGCCACCTCCCCAAATTTCTGTTAATGCTGCACCACAGCCCCAGTGCCCCAGCTGGGCGAGCTGGAGCCCTTCAGCTTTGGGACAAAAAGGGGCCAAAAAGCCCAGCAGGGCACGGGGGGCTGGCGGGGAGCTGAGCACGGTGGTGCTGGGCGGGAGGGAAGGGAGCCAGGCGGCACCCGGCGCGGGCTGGCGGCGGGGCTGCGAGGGAGACGCTGTCGAGATAAAAAGTTTGTGTTGGGAAGGAACCAGGCCATTTCCTTCCCCGCGTTAACACCCAGGCTGGAGAGGGAGGAGCGGCAGGCAGCCCGCTCGCTGCTCCTCCAGCGGCTTCGCCACCGGGTTTGTCTTTGGTGCTTGGCAGCCCCTGGGCAGCATCACCCCTGCCCGGCTGCTTTGGGGGGGGATGAGGGTGAGGGGTCCCGGTGTTGGGAGGGGATCTGCCCCTTAGGGGGCTGCAGCCGCCCATGCTGCTGGGTCTCTGCCCCCCAGTGGATCCCGGCCCTGTTTTTGGTGCCGTGCTGGTGCCCCGGGCGGTGCCGTGGTTCCAGCTGTGGTGCTGAGAGCCTTGGGCAAGGGTTGGGTGCCCTGAGCCCAGCACCTCCCGCGGCCCCGTCTGTGCCATCCCCAGCATGAGCTGGGCCGAGGGCTGGGAGCCCCAAATCTCTGCTCGAGGGGCTCCTGGTGGCTGTCCCCAATCCCCCTGTGAGCGCTGCTCGGTGCGCCTCGGCGTGGCAATGCTCGGTCCCTCGGGGGATATTTGGGTGCCGCCGCCAACCGAGCGCTTGTGAAGGCAGCAGGAGAAGGGGAGGCTGCTTGGGTGGTCAGAGCAAACCCACGCGTGAGCCTGCCCGTCCCCAGGGCTCCTGGCCTGCCCGGGACCATCCCGGTGCGTCCCCGCTGGGGCTGTGGCTGTCACCCCGGTGGTTCTGGCTCCTGCTCCCGGGGGGTTTGGGGAAGGGGCGTCCCAGAGGCAGGGGGGCACGCTCTGGCTGTGTGCAAACAAACCAGCACGCCCCCAAATCCCCGCTGAGCTGCAAAGCTCCTCAGCCCCTGTTTGGGTTAAAGAGAATTAAAATGCTTTCTCCTGTGGGGCGTTAATCCAGGAGGCAGGGGCAGGGCCGGGCTGCTTGGCTGGCTGCTTCTGGGCACTGTCACCTGGGGGGTCACACCGCCACCACCACCAGGACCCCCCTGTCCCTCTGCTGGCACATCCCTGAGCCAGGACCCATCACCATCCCCACCAGAGCAGCTCCGGGGTCCCCTTGTTCTCTCCCCACGTGCCGGCAGCACTGTGGGGCTGGCCTGGGCTGAAGGTGCACGGGTGGGACCTGGGTCCCCCTCCCTGGGCCCCGCTGCAGGTGGGAGCAGGGAAACGCTGCCTTGTAAGGGCTAAAAATCAGCTAGTGCCTCAGCACAGCTTTCTCTTCCCCGAAAATCCTATTAAAACCTCATTTTTCTGACCCTAATCTCAGCTCGCTGTTCAGGAGGGATTAGTGTTTGCCCTCTCCCCGCCGGCCCCGTGTGCTCCTGCGCTGAGCTGGCTCCGGGCTGGGGAAACCTCTGCTGGTGCCGGAGGAGGGGGCTCGGTGGGACCCCTGTGCATGGTGGTGGTGGCAGGGCCGGCAGCTGGCTGTCCCCCTGTCCCCCCGGTCCCCCTGGTCCCTCTGTCCTCTGTTCTCACCCCGCTGTGACGTTATCCTCGCAGCCTGCCAAGGGCTGGTGATGCTCCCCCTGGCAGGGACCCAGGGCCGCAGCTGGGATGGGGTGGGGGGGTCAGCGTGGGGCTGCGGTGCCACCCCCAGCAGGGCCACGGCTGTGCCACGAGCTGGGCTCCTTTGGGCTCTGCGTGCCTCGGCTTCCCAGCAGCTCACCCATGCTCCCTGCTCGGCCCTGCCTGGAGCCGTGCCGGGCGCTTTGTGGCAGATCCGAGGCTGCAGGAGCGAGCAGGGGGCACTGCCAGCGAACCCAGGCAGCACCGCTGGGGGGTCCCGGGTGGCGAGGAGCAGCAGCAGGCAGGGAGCGGTGCCGGCAGAGGGCCCTGCTGCCCGCTGGCAGCGTGGGTGCGCACGCGTGGGCGCTCACCCGCTGCCTGCCGCGGCGTGCCGGCGGTGCCGGTGCATGCCGGGAGCGCGCCGCGTTCCCCCTTGCTCCCGTTTGGCCGTCTATTTAGGACACTCCTGTGCAAAACACAAGGATTTTGGAAGGCGTCCAGGCGCGCTCGCATTCCTCGGGGTGGAATCTGCCCCCGCGAACGCCGCCTGACCTTTCCCAGTTTGGGCTGCAGGAACAATACTGGGGGGGCCCCGACCTCCGCTCAGCACGCCCCAGGGCGAGCGGCCCCCCCCAGGGCCCCCCCAGGTCAGTGCCCGCCTGCGTGCTCGGTGCTGCCAGGGAAGGCGTGAGCAGAGGTGGCAGGATCAGCCCCCCTCTCCGTGCTGTCCCTGGGGCAGCCGGCACTGCTCCAGGTGCCGATGTGCACGGGAGGGAGCGGCCCCTGCTTTGGCCTCGTTGCTGTTTGAGGTGCAGACACCGGGAGCACCCCAGGGGCTGCAGAACGCCCCCGTTCTGTGTTGGTGCTGAGCATCAGGGGTTGCACGGCCAAACGGGGCCGTGCATGGGTGCCAGGGAGCGCTGCTGGGTGGGGGCTCAGCCTGCGCTCCCCATCAGGCCCCCAGGGTGCGGGGTCACACACAACGCCCAGGGCCCACGCAGCCCCCAGCCCCACGCTGCAATTTTTCCCCTTTTTGCCTGGTTTCAGCAGGCAGAGGGAAGCAAAGCGCCTCCCCCCCGGCCGCTGCGTGGCACCGACAGCTGCCTCAGCCCCGGCTCGCTCCGCCGGCTCGGCGGCTCTGCCTGTCAGGGCAGGCCGGGCAGATGGGCAGGCTGCATGGCCCCGGGCTGCAGGCGGGGGCCGGGGTAGCCCCCCAGGGTGGCTCCCATGGGACACCCCTGGCACACGCGTCGGGTGACGTGGGGGTGGCCCTGGGGGTGCCCAGGGACCAGGGGAGGAAGGGCAGTGACGGGTTCGTGTCCCCATGTCACCACGTCCCGTTCTGTCCCCGGGGTGCTGGCGCAGAGGCACCAGGATGGTGCTGGGGGGTGTGCTGGGGGTGTGCGGTGGGGTCTCTGGGGACACTGCTGGGCCCATTGAGCAGCCCCTGGAGGGGCTCGGGGCAGGCGCCGGGGCTGTTTTGGGACAAGGCTGTGGCTCCTTGGCCAGGGTCGGTGCTGGGGATGCGCCAAACGCCGTGGTGCTGGTGGCACGTGGGGGGCTCGGTCCCGGCAGGTTGGTCCCTCCGTGGTCGTGGTGCAGGGGGGGCTGAGGAGAGGAGGGGGCCGTGGCCGGGGGCTGCAATCCCAGCAATGCCCGGCATTTCCCCGGCGCGGCCGCACGTGCCTCCCCCCGGCCTCCAGCACGGCAGGAATGCGGCACGGGAGCCCTCGTGCGGGGCTGTCCCAGCTGGGGCCGCAGCCGCTGCCCCCCCCCGAGATGTGCCCGGGGCCCCCAAGGGGATGCTGAGCTCCAGGTCCCTGTCCCTGGGTGCTCCCGCTCCTTCCTCCCCATCCTTCCTCCTCCTCCTCCTCTGCACCCCGTGGAGCAGCCTGGGCTCCCCTGGGTGCTGCTGTTTTTGTTCTTCCCCTTTGGGTGCCGTGGTGGGGGTGGCTCTGGGGGGTGCGCAGGGGGGTGGGCTGGGGAAGGGGAATTGATAATCCCACAGCTGTGGGAGCTGGGGATTAAATCACGGGGGCTGGTGGCCCGTGGCTGCCTGGGGGGAACAGGGACCGGCTGGTGCCGGGGTGCTGGGGGCAGCGGAGGAGCTGGGGGGCTCTGGTTGGGCTCCTGGTGGGGAGCGTCCTTGGAGACCCCTCCCTTTGCCACCACCATGGGGGGCTGCGAGAACAGAGCGTGGGGCTGGGACATGGCCCTGCTGGGGGGCTCTGCTGGGCCCTGTGCTTAGAGAGGGGCTGGGGGGGGGCTTTGGGACCCCCGGCTTCTTCTCCGTGGGCTCCCCACTGCGGAGCCCCTCGCAGGGACGTGCCGGCCGCTGTCAGCCCCGTCCCGGCCGCTGTCAGCCCCGTCCCAGCATCGCCCGGTGCCCCGCGGCGGAGGAAGGAAGGAAGGGGCTGGGAGGAGGGAGAGGAGGAAGCGGGGAGGGTCGGATGCTGCCCGGGGTGATGGAGGAAGAAGGGGGCGGTTAGAAAACCAAATGAAAAACAAAAAAAAAACAAAAAAAAAGGAAAAAGGGAAAGTGTGTGTGAAGCAAAACTTCAGGCCACGGGGGGGGGCGGGCAGTGGGGCTGGGAACGCTGAGCGCCGCGAGCAGCTGGAGCTGGAGCCCTGCAGCGGGGCTGGGGCGGGCGGCCGCCCGCCTCCCCCCACCCGTCCCCCCCCGTGCACGGTGGGGGCCGTGCTGCTGCCGAGGGAGAGCCGCCAGCAGCCATGAGAGCCGCCACGGCACGGCCGGTCCCCGCCAGCCCCCCACCGGGGCCGGTGGCGAGGACGGGAGCCATGGCATCGCCAACCAGCGGCTGAGCGCCCGCTCTGCTGCACCTCGCCACCCGCAGCTCGTGCCTGTCCCGCAGCTGCATGGTGGAGGAGAGCTCGGGAAGAGGGGAGCGGGGGTCCCGGCGGGCTCTGCGGGGTCCCCCGCCGGCCCCCAGCCCCGTGGCAGTGGTGAGCAAGGCGCTGTGGAGCGTGGAGCGAGCCGGCAAGGGCTGGCGGTGCGAGCGCGCCGTCGGCGTGGACTGCAGCCTGCCCGAGCCCCGCTGCATCTGGCTGAGCAGCCTGCGCCGCCACGCCGCCAGCCCCGAGCCCCGCTGGCCCCCGGGACCCCGGCCCCGTTGCGCGCCCCCTCGCACCGCCAAGGGCCGCAGGGTGAGGACCGCGCGCGGGAGTCGCTGCTTGGCTGGGGGGAGCGAGGTTGGGGGCTGCGGGGCGCTGGGGGGGGGCTGGGGCTGTGATCCCTCTGCCCTGGCTCCTCTTGGGGCTGGGGGCTCGGGGAGTCAAGGCTGGGGGGCCGGGCTTGTGCCCTGCTGGGGGGCTCTGAGCCGAGGCTGGGCTGTGTGCGGGGGCTTTGCTCCTTCTGTCCTGCCTTGGGGGGGGGACGCATCCTGCCCACCCCAAGGCTCTGGGGGATGTGGGGAGAGCTCTCCTTTGTTCTGCGGGGGCTCAGCACCAGCGGGGGCTACCTACCCGTGGGGGGCACGACGTGGCACAGGGCCCTGCTGCCGGTGCCGGGGGTGAGGGAGTGGGGGGGGCGCACCGGGGCTGCCTGTCCCCGGGAGGTGCCGGCCGGCACCGCGTCAGGGCGGGCAGCGTGCCCGGTGCCCGGCTCCGTGGCTGATTGTTGGGATGAGCACGGCCCTGGGACAGCAGCACTGGGGAGGCTCTGTGGAGTGGTTCAGAGGGGCTCGGGGGCAGCTCGTGCAAAGTTTAAAGCGGTGCCTGACGTGGGGACAGACCCCCCCTTCCCACGTAGGGCTGGAGGTTGTGGGGAGCCGGGTTAACGAGCAGGGCGCAGCTGCTCAGAGCGCATCAGAAACCTCGGGCTGCCGTTAAAATAAAGCCCCAAAGCAGGAGATCGCTGGCTGCCCGCGGGGAGAGGGGACGGGGGCACCGGGGACAAGAGGCTGGGATGACAAACCAGGTGTCAGCCCCTCGCTGGGGCTTTGCTGTCCCCCAGGAAAGCTCCAAGCTGGGGCGGGTGGCGCGGAGAGCTGGGGCACGGTGTGCTGAGCCCGGTGCAGGATGGTTTGCTGTGCCTGTGTCCTCACAGGGGTCTCTGTGGGGTCTCTGTGGGGTCTCTTTGCAGCGGGTGACTTCCCCCACTGGGCTGGCACAGGCCAGGGGGATGAAATGGAGCTGGAGACTGAGGGGGAAGCCCCCCCCGACAGGGCCTGTGGGGCAGTGGAAGTCCTAAGGGGGACCATGGGGGATCAGGGCGAAGGGAACGTGCTGTGCTCCCGCCCGGTGTCCCCCTGTCCTTGGCTGCAGGGTCAGGGTGCTGGGTCCCTGCTCAGTCCCTCCTCTGCCACGAGGTCGGGACCTTGGGCTGGAAACAGCCTGGGGGGGCTGTTCGCAACGCAGGGATCTCCTCCAGCCCCTCTGAAAGGGGGGTTCGGGCTCCTGGGACCAGCTCTGGGCGATGGGCACCGGGCTGGGGTCACCTCTGGGTGCCGACCGCGGCCCCTTCTCGCCTGGGGTCCTCGGCGCTTTCCGTGGTGGGTTCACAGGGGGGGCTGGGACCCGCTTCAGCATCCACAGCTGCAGGAAGAACCCCCTCTGTCTGCCCCCTGCGCTCTGAGGCTGGCAGCAAGCTGGATGCTAATGGGGCGGCTCAGCCTGTCGGGGAGGGGGGAGAGGCGTGGGGGGGTCCCGGGGGTCTGCTGGGCAGCTGGTGCTGGCGCTAAGTGCTTGGTAATGGGCAGCCCGGACCTGGGGACGTGTCCCCGTGTCCCGGGCACGCTGGAGCCACGGCCACGGCTCCGACATGCCCGTGACACAGGGACACGTCCCCGTCCCCGTCCCCGCGGGTCGGTGCCGCCGCTGGTGTCTGCGTCGCTCCTGCCCTCCCGGAGGCTTGTCGGGGCTGGTTAAAATCAGCGGGGCACATTCAGCTGTCAGCTTAAAAATAATCCAGCGAGCCGGCGGCCGACACAATGGAGGGCGCAGATGGGGACAGGCGCCGAGTGGCGGGGTGCGGGGCCTGGGGTCCCTGAGGGAACCTGGGGAGCCCGTTCCGGTTGTGTTTGGGGTCCCCAGGGCGCAGAGAGGACTTGGGGTCCTGGGGGTGCGTAGGGCTGGGGGTGTTGCTGTGCTCCACTTGGGTGCTGGGGTTTTCTGGCCCCCCGGTGCCAGGGTTTGGAGCATCACAGCTCTGCACCTCCTGGGGGGGTACCCGTGGGGTCTGCAAGTGCTCCAAGCCGCCCTCATCTCCCAGATGGGCGAAGCCTCTGAGCATCCCCGTGGTTCTCCATGCAAGTCGCTGCCCCCAAATAGAGCTGCTGGGGGGGGGCGTGGGGGCCAGGAGAGGAGTTTTGCTGGGGAGAGGCCACACGGGAGCCCTTGGCTGGGGGGCTGCAGTGCTGGGCCCCTGCCCCTGGAGGGATGGGACCCCCTGGGACCCCCCCGGGTGCCACAGGGAGGACTCAGGGCACTGGGGGTGCAGGGAGCCGTGCTGAGCCCCTCGCAGCAAAAGGGCCGGCTCAGCACAGGCGCAGGCAAACAAAGGCTTTTTGTGCCCCGTCCCTTTGTGCGTCCCCCCCGTCCCCTCCCCGCCTGGTTTTTGTCTCTTCCCTCATTCATCACCGCAGCGGCCGCTGCTGCCCTCCCTCTGGGGGGAGATGTCGTCTGAATTTCAACACCCCTGGGGCAGAACCCGGGGGCTGCTCGAGCCTGGGCACTGCTGCGTGAGCCGAGCTGCCAGCGGGGTGGCCGGGGGTTATCTCGCTGGCACAGCCTGGTCAGACATCCCCTGCTGTGTGCCTGGCTGGGCACGGAGGTGACAGGACGTGCCCGAGGGGGGGGACTTGAGGAAGGACGCGTGGCCACGCTCCGTGTCCCTGCAGTCCCTGATTTGAGGCTGGGGGCTTGGCATTGCAGGCGCTCGCATGGGGCTCTGGGAGCTGTTGTTTGCAGGGCTGGAAGTTGGGAGGGGTCTCCTGGGACCCGGGGGGGCTTTCCAGCAGACCCCAGGGCCGGGGGCTGTGGTGCTGAGTGGGGGCTGGCTGCCCAAACCCACCCTGCTGCGTTTGACACCCGCCCCTTGTCCCCACAGCCGACGCCGGGCCGCAGAGATGGGGCGTCCCCGAATGACAACGCGCCCCCGGAGGGACCCTTCCCCTGGGGGGGCCCGAAGACGGTGGTGCTGCGGAAGAGCACGCAGGGGGGGTTCGGCTTCACCCTCCGCCACTTCATCGTCTACCCCCCCGAGTCGGCCGTGCACTCCCCGGCCAAGGTAGGGCTGGGGCTGGGGGCGGGGGGACCCCAGGCTGGGGTCTGCTGGAGAGGGGAACCTGGGGGCTCGGAGGGGCCCCCCTCGCTGGCTGTCTGGCTGGGGAGCCCCCTCCGTTCGGTGCCACCCCCACCAAACCAACCCAAATCCCTCCAGCTTCCTCTGCCTTGTGTCAGAGCCTGCCCGCTCCCTCCTGGATTTTGGGGCTGGGCACTGGGCAACCCTGTGCCTTCGGGGGGCTTTTTGCTGGGGCTGAGCCCCCCAGGCTGGAGCGCACGGTGCTGCCCGGCGGGGCATCCCCATGGCACGGCCGGGAAGGGACCCGCAGGGAGCCGCCAGGGGCGGATGCTTTTGGGAAGGAGTTTTGGGACTGGCTCCCGGCACCCGTCTGAGCCAAACCCGGCACTTCCGAGCTGGCAGCGCAGGGCGCGGCTGGCTCAGCACCCATGGGTGCCGGCGGGCGGCCAGGTCTGGGGGCTGAGTTTCGGTGGCGCTGACTCAGCAGGGAGGGGGGCGGCAGCTCCGCATTCCTGGCGCTCCAGCACCGCCGCGGCCACGTCAGCGCCTTTCCGGGGAGCGGGGCTGCCTGGGGGCCAGGCTGGGCGCTGGGGCGAGTCGGTGCCTCCAGGGTCCCCCCGAGGGTCCCTCGGCAGCCCCACGGTTTGGTGTTGGCACCGTGGCAGCTGCTCGGCGCACAGGCAGCTTTGTGGTGGTGTCCCACGTGCTGGGTGTGTGCTGGACGTGGCTTTTCCTTCCCTTTGGGCAATGGGGTGAGGTCCCTCCAGCCCCCTCCTCCTCACCAGGAGCGCCCCCTCCTCACGCTGTGGTGGAGACTTGGCCCTTCCCAGTGCCCGTCCTGGGCACACCGGGGCTGTGCCCCAGTGCCCTGCCGAGAGATGCTGCTGGCAAAGCCTCTTGCCTGGAGCCGAGCCAGCGCTTTGCTCTGGTGATGGCAGGATCAGGCACTTGCAGGGTGAGAAATCCCCTTCCAGGCACCTGGCTCCATCCTCAGGACCTGCTCGTGGGGCTGAGCGGCCCAGGGGGCAGCTGGCTCCACCGTGGAGCTGGGGGCTTGGCGGCTCATGCTCCCCCCAGGGAGGCTCAGGGGATCCAGAGAAGGGCGAGCCCCACTGCCCACGCGGGCACGGCAAATTCACACTCCCTGCCCCAAAACCGGCCCCTTCCCCAGCAGCTTGGTGCCCCAGGGCCAGGTCCTGCTCCCTGCTGCGCTGACGGCCCTGCGGGATCCGGTGTCAGGAGTTAATTTTACCCTGGCCACACAGCCTGGGGCGGCAGAGGGCAGGGGGACAGACGGACGTGCGGGTCCGCGAGGGGCTTTGTGGGGTGCCACCAAGTTGTCCTGGCTGGGGGAATCCAACCCCACCGCCCCATCCTGTCCCCTCCCGGTCCCTTTGTGGTGTCCGTCCTGGCCCCGCCACCAAATGAGTTTTTTTCTCTTCTCTTGGCAGGAGGAGGAGAATGGGAACCGAGCAGGTAAGCGCTGGCACCGCGCAGGGGCTGTGGGTGTCAGAGGGCTCCTGTGGGTTGGGGCGGGGGCTTTGGTGGGCTCGTGGTCAGCCGTCCCCGCTGGTCGGTGGCCGTGGTGCTGGCGGCACAGCCCCAGGTGGAGGCAGGCAGTGGGGCAGCACAGGGACAGCTTGGGGACACGCGGAGAGGCAGGAGGGTGCGGTGCCCCCTCGGGGGGTTCGCTGTGCCGCGGGGGCTGTCCCAAAGCTGGGGAGCCGGGCGGGGGTCAGCACCCGCACCCCTGGCGCACGGCTGGGCTGAGCTCGGGTGTCTGGGGACAGGGACGTGGCCTCTCCCCTGGGGGCTGACGGTGATGGGAGAGAATGTGAAGGCGTCAGAACGCATCGAGGCGCTGGCGGGCTGACGAGGCACCGCGGGGCCGGGCGGGTTGGGGTGCTGAGACCCAGTGCTGGGTGCTCATGGGGACCGGGGGGACACCGACCTCGCTGCGGGGGGTCCCCGGGGAATTCAGCATCAGCACCGGGTCCCCACCGCCCTTCCCCTGCCAGCACCAGCCCCAGCCACATGCCCGCCAAGGGGGGGACGTCACCGCAGCCGCAGTGGTGCCAAGGAGGAGCTGTGGCTGCTTTGGGGACAAGGGGAGCTCAGGACCCCCCAGAGGGGTCTCCCCCACGCAGGACCTGTGTTTCTCAGGGCAGGAGTGTGCGTAGTGGGCTCAGCGAGGCAGAGGAGGGGCGGCGAGGGGCTGAGCGTGCAAAAGCCTGGGGGGGCAGGGGGTGTGCGTGGTGTGTGGGGTGTGCGGGGTGCCTGCCTCGCTCCTCGCGGGGGGCTGGACCTGTCCGTGCCACCGATGTCTCCCTGACCCTCTGTCCCCTGGGCGCAGGTCCCCCCCGGAGCCGCCTGGAGCCCATGGACACCATTTTCGTGAAGAACGTGCGGGAGGACGGGCCGGCACACCAAGCCGGGCTGCGCACCGGTGAGCGGGGCACGCCGCGGGTGCAGGGGGGGGGACAGAGCCAGGGAGGCTCCAAGCTGCTGGAGGGATGGGCACAAAGCTCTGCCCCGTCTGCCAGGGCTTTTGGGGCTCGTTTTGGTCCTTTTCTTGCATTTTCTCATTTTCCCCCTTTCTCGCTACTCCCTGTTGCCATCCCTGGGTGGGGATGCCCTGAGCAGCGCTGGGGTCCCCACGGCTCCTCTTGTCACTCGGGACAAGGTTCTGCCCCTGACCAAAGCCCCAGACGTGTCCTGTCCCCGCTGTGAGGGGACAGCCAGGCGTCCCCACCTCTGGCACGCTCGGGGTGACAATCTCTTCCCCCCCCTCTGCAGGGGACCGGCTGGTCAAGGTGAACGGGGAGAGCATCATTGGCAAAACCTACTCGCAGGTCATCGCCCTGATCCAGAACAGGTGAGTCCCCTTCCCGGGGGGCTGGCACGGGGCTGGGAGCAGCACGGGGCTGGGCAGAGCCCGGGAGGTGACGTGGAGGGGACACGTCACAGCAGGCCCCGTCCCTGTCCCCGTCCCAGCTGGGGCAGGCGAAGGTGCCACAGGGACCTGGCCGCGCGCGGTCTCGCCCCTGGGGGCAGGCGTCCCCCGGCCGTGCCCCTCCTGACCCTGCGCCCCCTCTCTCCGCAGTGACGATGTGCTGGAGCTCTCCATCATGCCCAAGGACGAGGACATCCTCCAGCTGGTGAGCACCCCCCTGCCTGGCTGAACCCTTTGCCCCTGGCTGTGCCCCCCCCCGCCCCCCCCAGCTCAGGGTCCTGGTGGCACCGGTGCTGAATCAGGTGCAGATCCGGGCGCGGGGCAGTGAAATCCCTCCTGCCCCCGCTGTTTGCCGGGCGGGTGCCAGGGACCGGTTTGGTTTCCAGGGCTCAGGTTCCCCGGCGTGGCCCTCCCGGGGTGTGCCGGCATTCCTGCGGTGTGCAGGGGGGGGGCTGCCAGCAGAACCCTGAGCAGCTCCGCGGGGGGAGCCAGGAAGGGAGGAGAGGGGCTGCTCTCCCTGCCTGGGCCCATCCTGTGGGTTTTTTTTGGGGGGCGAGTGCCCCTGATCACAGTGGTGCCCGGGGGACACCTGGGGACAGGGCCCCTGTGAGGATGGGTGGATGCAGAGATGGTGGTCCTGGGGGGCTCAGGGGCAGGAGGGCTGGGGAATGTGCCCCCTGCTTTTTTGGGGGGCAACGTCAGGCGTATCCACAGGGCTGGGTGCTCTGGGATTTAGGGTCTGGCTTATCCACAGAGGGTGGCTGGAGCCCAGGGGTCTGGGGGAGGTCGGTGGGCGCCTCTGTGGGGTCTGCAAGCACCGGGACCAGCTGCTGGTGTCCTCGAGCAGCAGCAGGGTCCCCAGATGGATGGGGGGGGGTCTTGCAGCCCTGGCAAGGGGGGGGCTCTCACCTCTGTGCCTTCCCCGGGCTCTGAGGTTTCCCGGGGCGTGGAGGCAGAGGCGCCTGTGAAAAGTGAGACGGGAAAACCAGGGCTCGGGGACGGGCCAGCCCGTGCGTCCCGGGGTATTTTGGGAAGCAGGAAGGGGGGGCGGCCGGGCGCTGCGTGGCGGCGGGGACAGCGGAAGGGGCTGGCGGCGGCACTGCTCGGCACGGGGGGGTCCCCGTGGGAGAGCAGGACCTTGGGGGGGGGGGGCTGCAACCAGGCCCTGCCCAACCTGAGCCGATGGTAACGAGGAGGCAGCGTCCCTGCGGGGTCCTGCCCGGGGGTGGGAGCGGGGTTTGAGGCCGCGGTGCCCCCCTCCCTGACCCCCTCCCCGTCCTCCCGCAGGCGTACTCGCAGGATGCCTACCTGAAGGGCAACGAGCCGTACTCCGGCGGGGCGCAGAGCATCCCCGAGCCCCCTCCCCTCTGCTACCCACGCAAGACCTACCCCTTCCAGGCACGGGGCACCGAGCCGCCCCCCGGCCAACCTCCGGACCCCCGCGCACACCGCCCCGCCGGCCCCTCGGCCCCACTCGGCAGCACCCGCAGCGAGGGGGGTGGCAGCCCCGCGCATCGCCCCGAGGACCTGCAGCCTGGGGGCCCCCCGCAGCACCCCGCAGTGCCCCACGGGCGCCCCGGCTCCTTCTCCCGAAGCGCCTGCCCTGGCTCCAGCGCATCCTCTCTGCCCGAGCGGTACGGGGTCCCGCCCGCCGCCCCCTCCTGCTATGGGGGGGGTCCCAAGCACCTCGCGGAGCACCGGACTCACTGCGGCTTCAAGGAGAGCGGCGGGGGCCCGCGGGTGCCGGGCCGGCAGGAGTGCCAGCAGGCTCTGTCCCGCTGGTTCTGCAGCCAGGAGCCGCGGCGCAGCACCTCGGAGGAGCGCCGCTACGCCATGCCCCCCCGCTACCGCAGCGTGTCCCAGGACCGCTTGGGGGGCTCGGCGACCCCCCGGGGCTGGCCCCACAGCGCCTCGCACGACACCCTGCTGCAGCCCACCCGCGAGGGCTGGCCGCACCGAGCCCGCTCCGACCACAGCCTGGGCCGCTGCGGGCGCTCCATGGAGGCGCTGGAGCCCGGCGCCCTGCTCTCCCCTCGCCTCGACCGCTCCGCTTGGCCACCCGACAGGCTCTGCCGCGCCACGGCCACGGGGCCACCCGGCACGCACAGCTCCTTCGCGCCCCCTTCCTCCTCCTCCTCCTCCTCCGCCACCGCCGCTGCTGCCCCGCGGGAGCCGGCAGCCCCCGTGCAGAAGCACCCGTCGCAGCCCAACCTGCAGAGCGTGGACGATTCGGGCTACATCGGCTACCGCAGCTACAGCCCCTCCTTCCAGCGCCGCACCGGGCTGCTGCACGCCCGCTCCTTCCGCGACCCGGCCTTCGGTGGCCTCCCCACCTTCAGCATCACGCAGCGGCCGGCCGCCACCGCAGCCCCGTTCCCGGAGAGGGTGACCCCCGTCGCCCCCCTGCCTGCCGGCCCCACTCATCCCGGCCCCCCGCTGGCCCTCGAAGCCCCCCAGGAGCAGCGGATGGAGAGCAGCCGGGTGCCCGAGCAGCACGAGGAGCGGAGGGAGGAGGTGGTCCTGCGTCAGAAGCCACCCACGGGCCGCAAGATGCCGCCCCCCCTGCGGCAGATGAACTTTGTGTTCCCCGATGGGGTGAAGGAGACGGACATTTGTGACCCGCCGGCAGCCGGCAGCAGAGGGGAGAGGCCGGCAGCCGAGCGCTCGGGCCGGCGCGTGGCCCCCTTGGCGGCCCCCGAGGACTCCTTGGCCTCCATCCCCTTCATCGGTGAGTTTGGCAGCTCGCCTGCATCGGCCCTGCTCCAGGTTGGGCAGTTCAGGGGGTGCCCCATGGCAGGGAGGGCACCGTGGGGGGGATAAGTCCCAAAGTGGGGGCCCCAGGGCTGGGGCTGGACGCAGCGGGCAGGGTGCGGTGGGGGTCAGGGTTGCTCTGTGCGGGGGTCTGGGTGCAGTGGGGGCTTCTGGCTTTTTTGGGGTCAGGTGCTCCCAGTGTAGGCTTTCCTGTCCTGTCCTGCCCTACGCCCTGCTGCAACCTCCCACCCCTCTCCCGCAGACGAGCCCACGAGCCCCAGCATCGACCTGAAGGCCAAGCACGTCCCTGCCTCCTCCGTCGTCTCCAGTGCCATGAACTCTGCCCCCGCCGTTGCCACCAGCCCCTCCTCGCCCACCTTTGCCTTCGCCCTGAGCCGGCACTACTCGCAGGACTGCAGTAAGTGGGGATGGGACGGGGACAGCCCCTGGCAGGGGCAGAGGGGCTCACTGTGGCCGGGGGCTGCAGCTCTGCCCCCTTCTCCCCCTTGGGACACCTTCGGCACCTGCCCAAGCCCTGCAAAGCCCCGTGACCGTGTGCTTTGCCCTCCTTCCCCTCTCAGGCAGCATCAAGGCCGGCCGCCGCTCTTCCTACCTCCTGGCCATCACCACCGAGCGCTCCAAGTCATGCGACGATGGTCTGAACACATTTCGGGACGAGGGGAAGATCCTCAGGTAGGGCTGGCTCCTGCCACCCGGCCACCAGGCGGGCACCGTCCCTTCCCCGACGTGACCCCCCCTGCTCACGGGGCTGCTCTCTCCGCAGGAGGATGCCCAGCCGGGTCCCCAGCCTCCGCATGCTCAGGAGCTTCTTCACCGACGGGGTGAGTGCAGGCGGCCGGGGCTGGGGGTGCCGGTGGCACGGACCCCGGGGGGGGGTGGCAGGGCCAGGCACAGCCCACGCCAGCACCGTGACCCCGCGCTCCGTCTCGCCCCCACAGTCTCTGGACAGCCTCGGTACGTCCGAAGACACCCGCTCCAAAAGGCACTCCACCTCCGACCTCTCGGACGTGACGTTCAGCGACGTGAGGAAGGAGGGCTGGCTCCACTACAAGCAGATCCTCACCAAAAAGGGGAAGGTACGCGGGGACCCCTGGCCCGGCCAGCGGCACGGGGCCCGCGGGCAGCTCTGACGGCCGGGCCCGGCTCCTTCTCCCCGCAGAAAGTCGGTGGAGGCATCCGGCAGTGGAAGCGCGTCTTCGCCGTGCTGCGCACCCACTCGCTGTACCTGTGCAAGGACAGGCGGGAGGCAGTGACCTGCGGCCCGGCCCCAGGTGAGGAGGAGCAGCCGATCAGCATCCGAGCGTGCCTGGTGGACATTTCCTACAGCGAGACCAAGAGGAAGCACGTCTTCCGCCTGACGACCGCTGACTTCTGTGAATATCTCTTTCAGGCAGAGGATCGGGAAGACATGCTGGCCTGGATCAAAGTCATCAGGGAGAACAGCAAGGCCGAGGGCGAGGTGAGAGCCACATGGGGCTCCCGGCTGCCTCTGGCTCTCCCGGCACTAACCGCCTCGGCTCTCTCCGGCTCTTTGCCTTGTGCTGCTTCCCCAGGCCACGGCCAGCCCGTGCTCGGCCGGGCAGCGTGGGGCTCGCCCGTCCTGCGCGCCGCGCCGTGCTCCCAGGGGTGCACGGGGGCTGCCGGGCACCGCCGCATCCAAGAAGAGCGCGGCTCCGTGGGCTCGGCCAGGCAGGGTGCGCCGAGCTGCTCGGCACAGGCGGTGTGGCTCTCGGAGCATCGTGGAGGCTCGGCCAGGCAGGGGCTGTGCCGGTGCCGCTGGTTGCATTTGGTAGTGAAGCAGCAGAGGAGCGCGCGTGGCTTGGCTGGAGCCCCGGCTGCGGTGCGTCAGCACCCCGGGGCGCGTTGGTGTCACCATGGCTGCGGATGAGACCTGCAGGGAGCTTCTTGCCTGTGCCGTACATGGTCCCCGTGGTGCTGCCTGTTCTTGGGGCTGGCACAGGGTCAGGGCTGAGCCCTCGCTGCGGTCTGTGCAGTGGTTGCTCGGGGCAGAGAAGGGAGAGCTGCTCCCGGGGCCGCGGGCTCCGCTGGAGGGGCTGCGCAGGGCTGGATGTGCCGGCGCTGGGCTGGTGTGAGCCATTTCTCTGCCGTGCCAGGGTGGCCGTGGTTGGTCTCAGTGTTGATTCCAGGATTGTGGCACGGCTCCGGCCCTGGAGGGGGCAGTTGAGCTCGAGTGGTTTCTGCTTTGCTGCAGCACGGCCCCGTTCGGAGGGCGCGGGGCTGGCAGTGCTGGCGCAGGGAAGGTGCTGCCGGGTTGGAGCACTTGGAGTTGTCTCTGGCTGCCCGCTGGGGCCGGGACCCCGCAGGGAACACCCTGCAGGGAAAGGCGCGTGTCTTTGGGCACCGTGGGGTGCAGTTTGTGCGTCTGGTTCAGGCAGGTGGAGGTGTACGTGCTGCAAAGGGCTGGATTTGAGCCTTTGGGGCTGGCTTGGAGCCCCTGTGCTGCTTGCGTGCGGTGTGCCATGGTGAGGAGTGCTGCAGTCCTCTGCGGGGCAGCCAGCACTGCCGGACACCGGTTGTTTTGGGGCACCAGGGCCCGGGTCCTGCCCTCACCCCAGCTTTGGGGCTGGCAGGTGCTGGAGGTGCCTCTCGGCGAGGAGCGCTGGAGGCAGGAACGGGCTGCGCCTTGGCCCCGTGTGGCCTCTGGGAGAGCGTGGACTTACCCAGGGCCACTGGAGAACGCGCTGCTCAAGCTCCCCCTTCCCCTCTTGTCTCTGCCTCCCCAGGACCCCGGTTTTGCCAGCCAAGCGCTTATCAACAAGAAGCTAAACGACTACCGGAAAGTGAGGTATGGACCCCGGGGCTGCGGGGCGCGAGTGGGGCACCCTGCCCACCCCCGGACACCCCAGGGAGCAGTGGGCACTGAGCAAAACCAGACTGGGCTTGGGGTGCAAGAAGGGCCTGATTCAGGCAAGCTCCCAGCAAGGGGTTAAAAGGGCTCCGAACTCCCCCGGCACTGGCGTGGGGCTCACCCCTGTGGCCCCCCAGCATGGGGGTGCAGCCCTGTGGGGTGAGCACCAAAGGGCAGGGAGGGCCCCGTGAGCACCCATGGGGCCGGGGCAGGACCCTGGGCAGGCTGGCAGACACCGGGCTTTGTGGGGGGGTTGGTGGGGGCCCATCCACGGTGCTCGGTCCCGGCTGTGCCCCCCTGACCCTGCTCTCCCCACAGCCCGGCGGGTGCCAAGCCCGACTCCTCGCCCAAGGGCTCCCGTGGGCTGGGGATCAGAGCCGAGTTCCTGAAGCAGACGGGAACCAGCGCACCCCGGTCCCCGAGGCAGGATGCGGCCGTAATGAAAGGTGGGTGCCCCCCTGCGGCACGGGGAGCCCCCCACGGCAAACCTGTGCTCCTGGCAGGGAGGGGTGCCCGCACACTCACCCCTCCCCAGCACAGCAGGGACGCCCTTGCTGTTTGTCCATCCTGACTCTTAACAAATAATCCCATGGTTGTGTTTCCCCCAGATGAGAGCAGCTCCCAGAAAGCCCCTTGGGGCATCAACCTCATGAAGAAGAACAAAAAATCTGCCCCCCGAGCCTTTGGCGTCAGGCTGGAGGACTGCCAGCCTGCCCCGGACAACAAGGTAGGGCGCGTGCCTCGGCTGGGGGCGGCCCCGGGGACCCCACACAGCCCCCTGCCTCCCTCACCGCTCACCCTGTGCCCCCAGAACGTGCCCCTGATCGTGGAAGCCTGCTGCAAGGTGGTGGAGGACCGCGGGCTGGAGTACATGGGCATCTACCGCGTGCCCGGGAACAACGCCGTGGTGTCCAGCCTGCAGGAGCAGCTCAACAAGGGAGCCACCGAGATCAACCTGCAGGACGAGGTGAGGGCTGCGTGGCCCCGTCTCCGTGCCCGTGGGGTGCTCCTGGGGCTGTTCTCCTGGTCCCTGTCCCCGTCACGTCCCCGTCTCCGTGCCGTGCCCATCCCCGTGGTGGCAGGGCCGCCTAGTGGATGCTGTCCGCAGCTCGGGGCCACGTTTGTGTCTTTGCATCTCACGGTGCAGGGGTGGTGCTGGGCTTTCCCTGCTGGGTGCGGGATGGGGACAGCTTTCCTGCCATCCCCATGGCCGTGGTGGCCTTGGCTGGGGTCCCTCTCGGTGCTGGTAGCCCTGGGCTGGGGGCTTGATCCTGCTGGTGCCTGGGTTTGCCCGGGTGCCGTCCCGCTGAGCAGCCCCTTCTGTCCCTGCAGAGGTGGCAGGACCTGAACGTCATCAGCAGCCTGTTGAAATCCTTCTTCCGAAAGCTGCCCGAGCCGCTCTTCACCGACGGTGAGTCCCGCAGCCCGGCCGTGGCGCCTCCCCACTGCGCCCACCGGCCCCACTCCCTGCCCCTTCCCTGCCCCTCTGTGTCCCGTCCTGTTGGGACCCCCCAGCCCCATCCCCATCCCTCCGCACCCAAGGGTCTCCATCCCCAAGGGGCGTCCCTGCTCCCCTCCCCCTGGTCCTGACCCCCCCCGTCCCTTTCAGACAAGTACAACGACTTCATCGAGGCCAACCGCATAGAGGACGCCAGCGAGAGGATGAGGACGCTGAGGAAGCTGGTAGGGAGATGGGGCAGGGCCTTGGGGGGGGCACTGCCCGCTTGTGGGGTGAGCAGAGGGGTGACCCCGTGCCTCCCCCAGATCCGGGACCTGCCAGGTCACTACTACGAGACGCTCAAGTTCCTGGTGGGCCACCTGAAGACCATTGCGGACCACTCGGAGAAGAACAAGGTACTGCTCCCCGCCCGGCCCCGAGCCCCCCCTGGCTGGGGTGGGAAGGGAGATGGCACCTGAGGGGGCGGCCGCAGGCAGGCACCGACCCCAGCTCCGGTTGCAGATGGAGCCCCGAAACCTGGCCCTGGTGTTTGGCCCCACGCTGGTGCGGACGTCCGAGGACAACATGACCGACATGGTGACGCACATGCCCGACCGCTACAAAATCGTGGAGACCCTCATCCAGCACGTAGGTGGCATTGGCGGGGCTGGAGGGGGGCTGCCTGGGTGGGGAGGGCAGGGACCTGCTGCACCCCGGGGCTGCCTCGCTGGTCCCTAACCCCTCTCCCGTTTCCCCCCGCAGTCAGACTGGTTCTTCAGCGACAAGGAGGACAAGGGCGAGAAGGTGAGGCCAGGCTGGCCCTGGAGCCAGGGGCAGAGCGGGGCTGAGCCCTGGCACAGAGCCGGGGGCCATCAGCAGCCCCCTGACCCCGCGTCCCGTCCCTTTGCAGACCCCCGTGGACTGAGAAGGAGGCGCAGTCGGTGCCCAACATCGAGTACCTGCTGCCCAACATCGGCAGGACCGCGGCGCCCGGCGATGCCCCAGGTGAGGAGCCGAGCCCAGGGCAGGGTCCCCCCCGGTCCTGGCACCGGGGTACCCCGGGTACACCTCTGCGGTCACTCCGTCCCCACGCTCACCCCCCCCCTGCGGGCAGCCGGCCGGGCTCTCCATGCTGCAGCTCTGTGCCCGAGCGTGATGTGCTCGTGCCCTCTTTGTTGGGATTCGGGGACACCCATGGGTGCTGGCAGAGCCCCTTCCCTGCCCTCTCCTGTCACCCCTGCTCTGGTGGCTGCTCATCCCCTGCGACCACGACCGCTGCAGGGCCCCTGCCCGTGCCCCCCCCCACCCTGTGCCTGTCACGCTGCCAGCCCAGAGACCGGGAGACTTTGACGTTCGACTGATTTCTTATGTTCTTTCCTTGAACTTCTCTGTGCTGTCCTCTTCCTCCTCCTCCTCCTCCTCTTCCTCCTCCAGCGGACCTCCTCGAGAGCTAGAGCGGGTACAGTGTTGATCCTGGGTGCATTGCTCACGCACTAATTCCTCCGGGCGACCACGAGAGAGGGGGAGCAGGAGGGGCAGCGGGAGGGGAGGGGGGGTCCTGTCTTACCCAGCCACTGTCCCCAGGGCTCTCCAGCACTGGGGGGCTCCTGGACCCCAGTAGAGCCCAATTCCTTCAGCCCCCGTTCTCCCCCCTCTTTGGTGGGTCCCTGCGGTGTCTCCGGTGCTGGCACACCCCAGGCAGAGGCTGGTGCCAAGTGCCCCAGGACCCAAATGCCGGGTTCTGGGGGTCCCCACTCCCTGGGGGTCCCCACTCCCTGGGGGTCCCCACCCCCTGGGGAGGGCTCAGCACCTTTCTGCCTCCCCCTCTCTCGTCGTCAGCAGCTTCTAACCCCATCCCGGGCCGGGGCCTGCAGGGTGGGAGAGGGTGTCTGTCGTGCTGTCCTTGTCCTTCCAGCCAGGCTGCCTGTCACCCCCGTGTCCCCTCCTGTCCCCTAACCCCCTGGGGAGCGCAGGGCAGCCCCACGGCCTGTCCTGAGCCCCCCCCTGCTCAGCCCATCACTGCACTAGCCCCATCGCAGCCCCCAGTGCTGGTAACGAGGCAGCTCCCCGTGTCCCATCCTGGTGACACCCCTGCCCCATCCCTCGGGGCTCTGCAGCGGGTGAGCAGTTCTGGGGTCCCCCTGTGGGACCGGAGCCTCCCCCCCTCCAGCTCCTTCCTGCAGCCTCCCAAACCCTGCTCAGCACCAGGACCCCCGCATGGGGCTGGCGGGGCCGGTGGCCCCAGTGCGTCCCCCTCCCCGCTCTGGGGGAGCAGAGCAGAGCCCCCGGCTCTGCCCACTGAACCCCTGCCCCAGCATGCAGCCCACCCTGCGGGGGCCTCGCTGACCCCCTTCTCTTCTCTCTGCCTTACAGACTCGACCCACAGCGGCTCTGCCAAAGTGAAGGTGAGAGGGGTCCCGGGCTGGGGCCAGGGGGGAGCGGGGTGATGTCCCCAGCACGGCGGGGATGGGGTCCGTGGCCTGTCCCTAAGCTGTGGCTCCCCTGTCCTCCCAGGGCACGTGGCCGTCGCGCAAGGAGCCGTCGCCCCGAGAGCTCCTCGCCATCCCCTTCATCTCAGCCGTCAACCGCAAGAGGAAGAAGCGGCGAGAGGCCGAGGGCTTCGGCAGCAGCACCGATGACGACGTGGAGCACAGGGACCCCAAGGGCCGGGAGCAGGAGGATGAGGAGGCCGCGGCGGCCGCGCCGGGGCCCGGCAAAGCTCCCCACGGCCCTGGCACCGAGCCGGCAGCCCCCAGCCCGGATCAGGAGAGCGCCTTGGAGCCCGGGGGCACCGGGGCCGAGCCGGCGCCGGACGCCCGCTCCATCGTGTCGGGCTACTCCACCCTGTCCACCATCGACCGCAGCCTGTGCTCCGAGGTGCAGTCGGTGGCCGAGAGCCGCGGGGAGGAGGCGGACGACGAGCGCAGCGAATTCAGCCACGTGGAGACGGACACGGAGAGCCGGGAGGGCGCCCAGGCCAGGCTGGGGCAGGTGGAGGGGGGCGCAGGGGGCGAGGACAAGGTGCCCCCCGGGCGCCCCTCCTTCAACTCCCACCGCCTCATCCAGTGCGACACGCTGGCCCGTAGGAAGCTGGGGAGGCCGCGGCCGGCCGGTGAGACCCCGGCGCCCACCGGGGAGGGCCATGGTGGCTGGGCCCCCCCCGGGCGGCCCTCGCTGCGGGAGCAGCTCCGGCAGCGCCTGCGCTCCTCGGCCGACGACATGGGGGTGCGCCTGCGCCGAGCCCACTCCCCGGAGACGCGCCGCAAGAAGAGCAGCTGGCGCCGGCACACCGTGGTGGTGCCCGGCGGCCTCAAGGACCTCAACTTCAACGAGTGGAAGGAGCCGCGGGGGGGTCTCGACGTCCCCCCAGGGCCAGTGCCGTGACAAGGACTCGGGGCTCAGCAGCCTGGAGTCCACCAAAGCCCGGCCCGCGGCGCCCAGCCCGGCCCAGCCTGGCGGTGCCACCAAAGCACCCAGCACCAAGAGCCCCCCGGGCAGCCCAGGCCCCCCGGCTCCCAGCCCCGTGCCCCCCCTGCGCTTCCCCCAATGTCTCTGACCTCCTGGAAGGCTCCCCCCCCACCTCCAGCTGGGGGGACAGTGTTTAATTTAAGGACTCGCACTTGTTCTTGTATTTAATTGTGCTCCTGACGAGCTGCTTTTATTTAACGGCCTCCCTCGCGCCGCCTCTCCGTGCCAGGAGGGACGTAGCCACCTTGTCACCGGGGCCCTGCAGGGTCCCGCACTGCAGCCTGGCCCCCTCCCCATGTCCCCCCCACCCCATCCCCTGCTCCCCAGGGCTGTGGGGTCCCTGCTCCCCCCGGCAGTGCCGGCCCTGGGGCTGCCCGGCCGCGGCGTTGCGAAGTGCGGGCGCTTCCCGGGGTGCTGCGGCTGCGGCTGCCCCCGCCGGAGCCCTCCCCTCCTGCCCCCCGACAGCCTCGGGGAGGGAACCTCGATGCCCTTGCGCTGTCCCTGGCCTGGGCATGGTGTGTGTGGGGCCGCAGGGTTTGGGTGACGGTGGTCTCGGGGTGCCCATCTGGCTGTGATGGCCCTGGCTGGGCTCCTGCAGGAGCGGGGTTCCAAGAGGGGCTTGCTCAGAGCAGCACCGTGCCGTGGGGACGGGGCTCTCCGTGTGTCCCAGCCGCCCCCAAAGCCCTTGCTCGCTTTTATGACCCCCCCTCGCCACCCACCCCACCTCCCCAGGCTTGCCCTCCCGGCCAGAAGCACTTTAGGAAGGGGGTGATGTGCTGCCACCTTGGGGGGGCACGGCTCGGCTGGGGACGTGGGGACGTGGGGAGCACAGACACGAGTGTGCCAGGGCCTGGGGGGGGCATCAAGTCAAGTCACTGTCACTGTTACACGTCGTTCTCATACGTTATGCAAATATTTGCTGTAAATTTCCCCCCCCTCCCTTTTTTTTTTTTTTTTTTTGTAAATATTGTCTCTAAATGTGTAACATATTACAAAAGATTTATAAGGATTTTGTAAGAAGTTTTGCTCAGCTGAAAGGCCAGCCCCGACCACACAAAGCGCTGGACCAGTGTTGACTTTTTAAACCCTTCTGCATGTGTCCCCCTGGCGTGTTGTACGAGTCGGTAGATGCCAAACTGCAAAAAAAAAAAAAAACAACCAGCCCCAACAAAAAAAAAACCCTGCTTTGGAAACTGTCCTCCTCCGAGTCCCGGTCTATATAGCGGAAATAAACTGGTTATTCGAGGGGAGTTTCCTGCTCTTATTGCTGCGCCTTCCAGCCCACCGACCCCAGTGTCCTCCATGCTGCAGCCCCCAGGGGCTGGTCCCGATCCTGGGGAGGGCTCAGGGCAAGGGGGGGGGGGTCCCAACCCTCCCACCCCAGCACCGGCACCGCAGCACGGACACAAGAGACCAGGCCTGCGGGGAAAAGGTGCCATAGAGAAAAGAAAGTCTTTTATTAAAGCCAGACACTCTGATAGAAAAGAAAAGTCGTCAAGGGAAAAAAGAAAAATAAAAAGCAACCCTTTGTCATCGGAGTTTGCAAGTTACAACGGTCACGTTTCGCACAGAACTACCCATGGCATCCATACAGAGATACAGAGACTACGTACAGCCGGCCAGGCCAGCCCGCGCCCTGCCCGGCCCCGGCGAGTCCTTGCTTTTGTTTTTCCTTTGCTTAAATTTTAAAACAGTTCACAAGAAAAATTCATGCTAAGAGACACACGACATCGTAGAAACCCCAAAACAGCCTCTAAAGAGTATTAGGAACTTTTTTTTTTTTTTTTTTTTTTTTTCTCCTTTTAAAAGTTGTAACCTTTTCTTAAACAACACTCAGACGAGTAAAGCGGGGTGCGCATGCAGCGGGCGCCTCCAGACACATGCACGATGCAGGCAGCGCTTGGTTCTTTTTTTTTGTCTTTTTTTTTTCCTTTTTTTTTTGTCATTTTTGCAACTTTTTTTTTTTTTTTTTTTTTTTTTTTTTGTCTCTTTTCAGTTTAAATTAGAATCAAGCAGATTTTTTTTTGTTTTCGTTCTCTTGCTTCAGCTAAAGCACCGGGCTCGGTGCTCACACACAGTTTGCATGATGCCATGAAATGACGGACGCACACGCACGCACACACGCAGAGACACGCTCACATAGAAAACCAGCCTGGTGGGCAGCCAGGAGGGGTGGGGGAGGGATAAGAGAAGGGGGTGGCCCGGAGCTCCACGTGCCCCCGCTGCAGGCTGCTCTGGGGCTGGGGTCCCACTGCACCCCTTGGCAATGCTCGGGTGGGCAGCAGCCAGCACCCATGGCAAGGCTGGGGCGCAGTGAGGGGCTGTGGACCCCCCCCCCCCATAGGCATGAGCTCGCTCACAGCTGCAGAGTGCCCCCCGTTCCCCCCCCAATTCACTCTGTGCAGGCAGGGGACCCCCATGCACTGCCCTGGGCACCCTGGCACCACCCGGCGCAGGGCACACGCCAGGGCAGGAGGATGCCAGTGGCACTGCCGGCAGCTCCGGCCCCTCTGCGCATGCATGGCCACGTCCCCATGGGGCTGGAGGTGGATGGGACCCCCCCCCCAAATACACCCTGCGTCCCCCCAGGGTTGGCTGCAAAGTGCTGAGCCCTGCAGTGGGGCGGGCACCGGGTGCCCTCGTACCCCCGTGCTTGGGGTCGGGAGGGATGGGGGCACGGCCAGCCCCACACGGCCACTGCGGCACTGGGGCAGGGAGGGTTGGGGAGGGGGCCAGGCCCCCCCAAATCCATAAGAAGCTGTGGCTTTGCTACAGTGTTTCACTTTGGTACCAAGAAAAAGTAATTATAAATTAAATTAAACGCATCAAGTGACTGCTATTGCTGCCAGGAGCCGCTGCCCCCTGCCCCAGGTCCCGGCCTCGACGCGTGGCCCCGGGGCTGGCACCGGCAGCCACTGGCCCCGGGCTCCCGGCCCCGACCCCGACCCCGACCCTGACCCCCCACTGCCTCGGCTGAGGGGTAGGACGGGATCGGGGACGGGGACGGGGACAGGGACAGGCCACAGAAGGGGGTGGAAGGAGGATGCCAACTCAGCACGAGGGCTACCAAGCCGCTAGGAACTGACCCTCTCAAAAATCACAAGGAGCTATAGTTTAACCAGGGAAGAAAATCCACCCCCTAATATACCAGACATGAAGAGATTTATTTCTTTTCTTTTCTTTTTTTTTTTAAATATTTATATATATATTTATATTACGTATATTATATATATATAATATGTAAATATATTTTTTAAAACAATATAAAATGTTAAGACACTTCACTTAAATGTAAAGAGTTGCTTTTTGCAATCCAAAGAAATTGCATCATGATTTTTTTTTTTTTTTTGCTTTTTTTTTTTCTCTTTGTTATTCAAAAAAGGCTCGTTCTTCTGTACAAAAATGATTGATATACAAAAAAAGAGAGGGGAAAAGAAGGAAATAATAATAATAATAATTAAAAAAAAACAACAAAACCAACCCAACAACGAACTAGCCAACGAAAGGAGTGATTCCATCTCTTGTTGCACTGCGGGTGGACGGCGCGCTTCACAACACGGCATTGACCACACGTGCACACACACGCACACACACGCACACACACGCACAGCGCTCCCCTCGCACGCCCGCAGGGCTGGGCTGGCAGCGGGGGGGTGCTGACCCCAGCCCTGCTGCAGGGGGGGGGGCTCTGGGACACCCTGAGGGCGCTGGGGAGGGGGACGTGGGTCCCGCAGGGTGTCCCCGTGCAGGCAGAGCCCCCGGGCACCGCGGCGTCCCTCTGCCCCAGCCACCACAGTGACCCAGACGAACAATTAAAGTGCTACGTTACGAACCTACAGTGATGGGGGCTGATCCCCAGTGCCCCCCAGCACCCCCTACCCCTACCCGTTTCCACCTCCCCAAATTTGACATGCTCAACCTCCAGGCGCCCCACCAAAACCCCGGTCCCCCTGAGCACCTCGGGGGCACCTGGGCTCCCTCGTGGCCACCCCACCCATGGCACAGCGAGCCCCACGGGGCCGGGGGCTCAGGATGCTCCGGGGAACCAGCACCGACCTTCGGCGAGCACCGGAGCGAGCGTGGCCACAGCTCTGCCCATGGAGACCCGGTGGGCGCCGGCATCGTCCCCTCGGGGCTCGGTGGGGTCGCGGTGGCCGAGGAGCTCAGCGGGGAGAGCGGGCGGTGGGCAGGGCGAGGGGCGGCGGGGGCGTCCTCGGCAGCCGCTTTTTGCCCGTTTTGCGCCCCCCGGCCGCCTCCTTCGGTTTTTGGGCGGCTGCCGCCTGGGCAGGCGGGGTCGGGCGCTGCGCCGCGTCCTTGTTGCTTGAAGCTCGTGAAACTGGTGGGGTGAAGCTCTGAGAGCTCTTAAATAAACAGAAAACGGCAGGTGGGGAAGGGAGGGGTCGAGAACCAAAAACGACAGCAACCCAAAACGAACCAACGGAAATTTAAAAAACAAAACAAAAAAAGGGAAACAAAAGAAAGAGGGGGAGAGAGAGAGAGAGAAAGAAACAGAAAGTGGCTGGTTGGCCATTTTGGAGCAAGATGTGAGACAGAAGTCGGGCCGTGCCGGAGCAGAGGCAGACACAAGTCGGGGCCGTGCCGGAGCAGAGGCGAGACAGAAGTTGGGCCGTGCCGGAGCAGAGGCGAGACACGAGGTCGGCCACATTGGAGCAAGACATTTAAAACAAAGAGAGGGACACGTGGCGATGCCTCAAGGTGCCTCAAGAAGACAGTCCAGGGGAGGAGCACAAGGAAGAGAGAAGCCCGGCCCCAGGAGCAGGAAAACGGTTGGATGGAGCTGGCAAGGAGGCTCAGAATGAGATGGATGAGTTCCTTGCCCCAAAGGAAGTCAATACAGGGATGGATGTTCTGCCAGATGCAGGTTTTTCTGAGACTGCAGGGGAAGTCTCACTAGCCTCTTTAGATGGTCTAGCGGCCTAGAAAGAAAAGCAAGATTCAAGGAGGAGGAGGAGGAGGAAAAGGGGAGGAAAGTCAAACAGTTTCTTAAAAAAAAAAAAAAGACCAAAAAAATAAAAGAAAAAAAAAAAAGGAAAAAAAAATAAAACAAAACGAAACAGGAGTTTGTTCAGAAGCAGCATTGATTTAGGCCTGAGGTCAAGCAGCTGGAAAAGGTCCACCACAAACAGAGCACGAGATGAGCTGGTTCCACGCGTTACTGGATGGGAAGGGGGCACCCCCGAGAGGAGCAGGAGAGAGACAAAAGAGAGAGAGACAGACAGACGGACACGAGGACAGACACGCACACACAGAGGCAGGCAGGCGGAGGGGAGAGGGGAGAAAGGTGGGGTGGGGGGGGACAAGAATCGCAGTGTTAGGCTGGGCACGCAGGCTGCGCGGTGCCTGCCCCGGCCGGCGGGGCTGCCGCAGAGGTGCTGTTCATCAGAGCCCAGCGCCGGCCCCGGGGGAGCCGCAGTCCTCCGAGAAGGTGGCAGCCCCCACCCCAGCCCCTGCGCCCACCTGTGCCGGTGGTGGCACTGCCACCGTTGATACGAAGCAACCCTGCTGCTGGCGATGACAAAAAGGGCTCCGTGCCAAAGCTGCTGCGCACGGAGCCGGGGAGGAACGCACCTCCGGAAAAAAGCCTCCAGAAAAGGGGTGATGTCTCCTGGGCTGCTGGGCTGGGGCATGGCCAAGCCCTGCACTAAGGACAGCAAGGACAAGGGTGCCAAGGAACCCCCCCGGTCAGGGGGACAGGATCCAGGGCCGTGCTGATGCTGCCGCAGAGTGCCCAAGGTGGGGACTCAGGGGAGTGAGGTGACAAGGAACACGGTGGACACTGGGACAGCTGGGACTGTGCCTAGCACGTGGCCTCTGGGCAGGGGACTTGGTGGCACCGCCGAGGCTTCCAAGGCCATGGGACACCTGTAGACACCCCCCCTGGAGGGGCCAGGAGCTGCCTGCCCGGCTGCTGGGGGCTGTGGGCGCACGGAGCCACACGGAGCCCCTGCGGCTGGGGACGGTGCTGGGGGGAGCCCAGCCACAAGCACCCCGAGTCTGCAGGCACCCATGAGGGGCTGAAACGCTCGCCAAGGGGAGGCTGCTGGGCGAGGACAGCCTGGGGACATGCCACCACCACCCGGGACCCTGTGGCAGTCGTGACAAACAGCACCAGTGCGTGGCTCCGACCCGGCGTGCCGGAGGGGTTGGGGGTGGGCTGGGCCCCCGTGCACGAGAGGCGCCCGTTTTGCTCATCAGACCTTTGCGCAAATTGCACGAAATCCCCGCCGCCACTCGCCCCAGCTACGGCTCGAGGTAGCCGGGAACCCCCTGACGTCTGCCTGGCAGGGTGTATGGATCCAACAGAATGAGCAAAATCGGGTTTATTGGGTGGTTTGTTAACGACAGGCCCGGGGAAGGGGACTGAAACACAGAGCGGGTGGGGGAGGAGGACAGGACAGGGAGAAGCCGCTCGTGGTGCCCCCACGGCGGGGCTGGTGCGAGGAGAGTGGCAGGAGGGGAGGAGAGGAGCGGGATGGGGCTGGGGGGGGGGGGACACGGCCCGGCTGGGGGCACCTGGCCTCATGCCCGAGGGAGTGGGACAGGCCCCATGCGCACCGCCCCCCCCCAGTAACACAGGAGCAAGTGGAATCCAGATGCGTGGAGGAGCTCCAGGGACAGGGATGGGGTCAGGGTTAGGGATGGGATCGGTGCTGGGCCGGAGAGGAGGCACAGTCCCATCCCACAGCTCTCCTCTTCCAGCTGCTGTGGCCCCCCCAACCCCAGTCTCCACGCTGCGGGTGCCCCGGTTCCCCCACCCTTGGGGTCCCCTCCTGGCTGCAGGGCGGGCTGAAGGCGCAGCGTGGTGCCGTGCCGCGGGGCTGCGGCTCTCCAGACCCCGTCTGTCTCACGGGAGGGGTCCTGGCCAGCTCCCCCTCCTCACCTGTGGCCAAATTCTCTGCAGGGAGGTCTCAGGATCCCCCAGGATCCCTGAGCCGGGCTCACCCCATCCATCAGGGGGGCAGCAGCACCCAGGGCTGACACAGACGTCACCTCCTGCTTCATCCTCACCACCCCTGAGGACAGCTTGTCCCCCTCAGCTCCGCACAGAGCTGCAGGCCCCCTCCCCAGCAGCCCCCTCTGGCTGCCCCTCGCCGGGCTCGGGGGGCGCCGATAGCCCCCTGCCTGCACCCACCCGGTGGCGGGGGCCAGCACCCCGCGTCCTGCCAGGCTCAGCCACGGGGGAGAGCGGCCACCGAGAGGGTCCGGAGCCGTGCGAGCCACCTCAGGCTGGCGTGGCCGTCCCTGCTCCCTGCCCACCACCCGTAACACGGCCAGGGGCAAGCAGGGCTCGTGGCCACCCTGCCGCCGGGGAGCCTGCTCTAGAGATAGGCTACCTGCTGCTGTCCCTGGATCCGCATGTACTCCATCCGCTGCTTTATGTGCTTGCTTTTGTCGGGGCTGCCCTGCTGGCTCTGCTTCAGCCGGGACGCCGGGTTCACCATCTTCATGGCCGGGATGGAAACGCCCCCGCTCTGTCAGGACAGAGAATTTCGGGAGGCAAGGATTAAAACCAGCAGGTGAAAAGCCACACGAGCACAGCCTGCAGCCAGGCACTGCTGGCACGGAGCACACGGGAGCCACGCGGGACCCCACGGCCCCATCCCCACGGTCCCACCGTGCCGTCCCGCAGGGGACAGCCCTGCCGTGGCGCTGAGCACAGCCGAGGACAGGGCCGTGGGCTCCGTGTGCCGTGGTGAGCCCAGGGAGCAGGCAGGACTTACCGAGAGCTGCAACGCAAACGGGGGGTTAGGGGCAGACACCGGGAGGCGGAGGGCAGGAGGACAGCACCCAGCTGGGGTGCACAGCCCAGAGACGGGACAGGAGGCGACGTCAGGTGGAAGCAGATTCCAGGTGGAAACGGCGGCAGTGGGAATAGAGGTTTTTATTAACTATGCGCACAGGCTGAGATACAGAGACTTGCGAGAGCAGCAGCAGGAGAAGCGTTACGTGTTGGCACGTCCCTAAGTGCGAGCAGATCCCCACGGCAGGTACCCAGAGCGGTGCCTGCGTGGGCACCCCAAAACCCCACACCACTGCTGCCCTGCCTGCCCCGTGCCAGCCTGGACCAGCTGCCCCTGGAGGCAAAAGCAGCCCCTCTGTGCTGCCCCAGAAACGTGCACGGGATGCCCACAGGTTATCTCCAGGGCTGGGTCAGTGGGATTGCTGCCTGCACTGGAAATCAGTCCCTGTCCCCCCTGCCTCACCGTGGGACCCCTGTGCTCCTTCAGCCGGGACGTGGGGACTCCCACACTGCATGGGAATCCGGTTCCCATCTGGGTCACAGTTTGTATGGGTACGGGCAGGCGCTGGAGCTCAGCGCTCGCATCCAAGCTGCAGCAGCCCCGGGCTGTGCCCTGAGACCTCAGCCCCGGCTGAGCCAGCTCCGGCCGTGCGGCCTCTCCTGGCAAGCCCTGATCTGAGCTTTGCTTTGTGAGTGCCTGCACACGTGCCAGCCACAGCCATAAATCCACCTCGTAGCTCTGCTGCTCCTCTGCACAGCTCAGGGGGTGCAGCAGGGCCCGACAATAGGGGGAAATTGCAGCTACACCCACTTGGAAGGCCCATTCACCCAGCCAGAGCCCTGTAAAGGGACCGCCGGGTAAGTGGGAACCGGGGCTGAGATAATTGCTGCAAATGAAAAAGGAGATTCGTTCACGAGCGCTGATTGTTAATAAAGGAGCAGGCTGACTTGTGAGTAGCTGAGGGCACTTTTCCCCCTCTTTTCCCAGCTATTCAGCGAGCCCAGTGGCTGCCACAGATTCCAGCAGAAACCAATTTGGACGGCTTCAGGGAGCCGGCGCTGTGATTTAATTAGGAGAAACATCTGCTGCTTCGCAGCGACACTTAAAATGCAGTTCCTCAGAAAAGTGCTTATGTGAAATGGGAAGGCGAGGAGCGCCGCGATCCCACTCAGCTCCCCCAGCCCCTGCCGGCCCCACGGCCGCTCGCTGCCGGGGCCAGCGCTGCCCTCGGGCATGCAGTGAGCACAGCACGGGGGGCACGGGGTGCCTGGGGTGCCTGCCCCATCGCTGCCCTGCCTCCCTGCCCTGCAGCAGCTGCTGGGAGCTGCAGGAGCCAAAGTCTCCGCTCCCGGCTCACAGGGGCCGAGGTGGCAGCTCCAGCCCCAGCCCCAGCCCGGGCAGGGGGTCCCTGCCCCCTAACCCAGCACCAGCAGCACCAGCAGCACCAGCATCCCGAGCGTCCAGAGGGTGCCTTGGCCCAGCTGGGAGGGAGCCTGGAGCTCGTTGGTGTGTGCCTGGAGAGCTGCAGTGCTGTGCCAAGGCTGGCCCTGGAAGGGCCCCAGGGGAGGGCTCCTTTGCCAACTGCTTCTCCTAACGCTCTGCTGAGCCGATGTCACTGCGGGGCTCTGAGCTACAGCAGCCCCCCCACGGCACGGCCAGCTCCCACCGAGGTGACCGGTGCAGACCAAAGTGCACCTGGAGCAGCCCCAACACCCGTGCAGAGCCAGGGCAGGGTGGTGGCAGTGCCGCTGGCACCCGCTGCCTTCACACGTCAGCCTCTGCTGTCTGCAGCCTCGCTCCAAGAGGAGTTTTGTGGAGGTAGAGTCACAGAGAGGGAGCAGGTAGAGGTGGAGGAAGAGAAGACATCAGAGTGAATCCGAGGGCAGAGCACACCAAGAGGGAGTACAGAAAATAAACCTGAGGGCTGCTGAGGGGGAGCTGTGGCTTGGGCAGCAGAGGTGGCTTGGTCTGGCTCGGAGGCGAACTCTCAGGAGCATCCCCTTTGGGCTGGCTGAGGTCCAGGGCAGTCCCCCCGTCACCGCCGCTGTGCTGGAGGTGCCCTGCACGCGCCTTCATCTCCTCGCTGCCGTCGGGCGCTGCTTGTCCGAGCAGTCCTTTAGGGAACATCAATCCGGCCGCAGGGTGGCTGCTGATCTCGCTGATGGTCATTTCCAGCTCACGGATGGTTTCCTCGAGGCTATCCAGTCTCTGGTAGGTGCCTTCGTAGATCTCCTTGCTGCGCGGTGACATGCTGTGCAGGGGGGGCACGTCCCCTTCGCTCCTTCCCCCAGGAGCGGGGCAGCACAGCCCCTCCGCTGCCTTCCCACCTGCATCCTCTTCGCCTCCTCCTGCCCCGGCAGCCAGCCCCACGCTGTCCTGTCCCGGTGATGCTGCACACCGCTGAGACCCTGGGGAAGCAGCGACCTGTCCCCGGGGGTGCCCAGCCTGGCACCATTCTCTCCCCTGGATGTGGTCACAGCCCGGGGGACGCCTGGCTTTTGGCACTGGCGAGCCATCGCGGTGGTCCCTCCGCTTGCAAACCCCATCGGAGCGTCCAGGAGGGACGGATGCCTCCCGTGTGCTCTGCCTGCCTCCTCCTCGGGGCTCTGCATCACTGGGGACGGCACCGGACCCTTGGGTGCCTGCCCCTGGGACAAGCACTGTGTCTTCGGCCCCCCGATCTGCAGCCTGCCCTCGGGGAGGCTGCTCAGCCACAGGACCTCGTGGTGCAGGCTGGCTGCTGCCCTCCTGCCTCCCGGCAGGGCTCGGAGCAGTGTCCTCTCCTTCTGCCCCCATGGGCTGGCTCGCTCCTCGCGCTGGGGGGGACGGGACCTTGCTGTCTGCCGGAGGGAACCCGTGAGTCTCTCCCGGTGCGCGCTCACGGCCTTGGGATGGGGCAATTTGGGGCTGCGGGGCTGAGGCTGGAAGGCCCCCGGGCGTGGATGGAGACTTTCTGGGGGTGCCAGCAGACACATGGCATCTCCCCCCTGCCTCAGGTGCCAGCTCCCCTCCGGCTGCTCCACTGCCAGCTGGGTCCCCGTGCTCAGAGCAGCCCGTTGCCACTGGCACCTCGGGGTCGCTTTCGGGGGACGGCGGCGCGGACTCGCACTCGGTGAGCACAATCTGCGGGAGGGAGAACGCCCTGCTCCCCGGGGGGGCCGGGGCCACCGGCTCCTAGGTAGAGAATTCAGACAGATTAGGAGCCGGGGAGCGGCGCGGGCTGCCTGCTGGAGGAGGGAGCGGGCAGCTGCTCGGGGAGCACAGCCAGGCTGTTTCGGGTCCCCTCGTGCTGGTCCCTTCGGGCATCGCTGCAGGAAGGTGCTCGGATAGGAAGGGACACACTCAGCTCCCTGCCTGCCTGGCCGGGTCTGGGCAGCTGTGACCTCCCATGGGTGTCCCCAGGCACAGAGTGACCATGTTTATGCTGTGCGCAAGGCAACCTTAAGGGGGATGTCGGCAACAAGGGGCTAAAATCTTCAGCAAGACAGACTCGGTGCTGCTGCACCTCCCAAAGGTGTTTGAGAACCCGCCTGCCATGGTCCAGCTCAAATTTCTCTTGTACTGGTGTAAACTGGCACGACGTGTGCAAGCGCAGAGCCTAGACCTGGAAAACCCCGTCCGGCCTCCCTGCACCTCTCCATCACTGTCCCAAGGGGGACGCAACGAGCCGTGCGGTGCCTGGGGGACCACAGCCCTGCAGGGAGGCAGCTGGAGCAGTGCTCTGGCAGAGGAGCTGCTCCCCAGCAGCTGCAGCAAAGGGGGGGCCCTGCTCCGCACCCCAATCCTACCCCGGGCAGCGGCTGCAGCCTCGCAGGGCTCGGTGCACAGCTGGCTCCAGCCCCTGCTGCTCTGCTCAGCAGCCCAGAAAATGGGGGGAGCTGGGGCCAAACCAGCCTCAGCCCCAGCCTTCACCTTCTGCCCGCATCGTGCGCATGGAGGGGGCTCTCCACGTCTCCATGCGCCACCGTCCACAGCCCCGCTTCGGTGCCACCCTCCCCACACGGTGCCAGGCCACCCGGGCACCCAGCGTGGCACGAGAGCGGGGAGCCCTCCCTGCGCCCTGCATTGTGGGGTGCTGGGGGGCCCTGCCTCTCCCCCGTCCATGTGGCTGCAGGATCCAACAGCCCCGTGCTGTGCCGCAGAGGGGTTAGTGCTCGCCCCGGTGCCGTGTCAGTGCCGTACGCGCAGTGGCAGTGAGCGAGGGGGTGAAGAGAAGCCGTCAGTTGGTTAAGTCAGAGGGGGAAGGAGCCGTGAGGTTAAGAAGAGGAGGGAGAGGCGGTGGTTAGAGTGCAGCCGGCCAGGAGGAGATGTCGGCAGGAGGGATGGGAGCTCGGGGCGAGCTGTTACCTTCCATCCTTCGGCTCCATTGGGCCACATGGCTGCGTGCCCAGGGGAGGCGGCAGCCGTGAGCGGATCATAACCGAGCTTGGGAATGAAAGGGGAGGCAGAGCTTCTCTGAAACACCTGGGGAGTCAAACACGAAGGGTTGGAGGAGGGAGGCTTGGGGCTGACACGCACAGAGCCCCTGCCAGGACGGGGGCTCAGCACTGCTGGCAGTGAGGGAGGCAGCGGCTGCTCCCCGCTGGTGACGTGCCCCAGCCACGGAGCCCCCCCACATCTCACAACGCCTTGCACCCCCCGGGCAGGATGCGATTGCTCCACGCTGCCTGTCCCTGTGGCACCGTGCTCCTGCTGGGGACGGGGCGAGGACGGGGACAGCCACCGCTGCGCTGCTGCTCGGGGGTCGCTCCTGGAGCTGCTCCTGCGGATGCCCAGGGGCATCGCCACCCAGCCCCCCCCCGCCACGCTCACCTCCAGCTCCGCAATGATGCGGTCCTCGTCGTCGTCATCCTTGATGGCAGAGGCGATGATGGGCGGGGTGGATGCGGGTCTGACCACCTCCGACACCGTCCGCCTCAGCTTCACCTGCGGCTTCTGGGTCTCCAGCTCCTCCGACTCGGCCTTCTGCGGGGACGCGGGGCGGTGAGGGGCTGGGGCAGCCGAGGGGTGACCCAGCACCCCCCTATAGCCCCCGCTCCCCACCTTCATAAATCCGGGCTCCTTCTTGCTGGTGACGATGACTTCGCCGCTGCGGGTCGTGGTCAGCCCGTGGGACGAGGGGAAGCTCCGGCGGGGAGGGGGAGGCGGCGGCGATTTGGAGGGTTTCTCGGTCCGGTACCGCGGCACCGTCAGCTCGTCTGGGCACAAACCATGCCGTGAGGGCACGAGACTAAAAGCAGAGCTGACACCAAGCCCTGCCCCAATGCCTGCCCCGGGATCCTGCATGTACCCCAGCCCAGGACCCTTTGGGTGACCCCAGCTCCCCGTGCCGTACCTGAGCCCCTGCGGCCGTTGGGGTCAGCCTTGCCCGCGGACTTCTGTGCGTGCTGCGGCTTGGAGGGCTTGTGCTCGGGTGTGGATGCAGCACTGCTGCTGCCCGTGGCCTGCTTGTGCTTGGCAGCGAAGTCCAGGTCGGGGATGGCCTTCATGAGCTCTGCCTGCGTCTCCTCCAGCAGGCGGTTGATGTCCTTGGCGCTGTACTGGGTCAGTGCCGCCCGCTTCTCCTCCCAGTCCCGCTCCGCAGCCTGCGACAGCCGGCACAGCCCCTGCAGCCCGGCAGCTCCCCATCGCCCACCCTGCCCCACCACCTCCCCAGCACCTGGGGTCTCCCACGGCTCCGTGGCACGCTGGGGGTCCCTGATCTCAGGGACTGCCCAGCTCCTGGAGCTCCCCACCTTTGGGATGCCCCCTCAGCTACAGACCCATCGAGAAGGATGTGCTCAGCTCCCCTTCCCAGTTTTAGCCATGGGGGGGCTCCGTCAGGGTTCGACCCTTCAGAGGAGCCCCCCAGCTGTGGGTTTTGTTCAGACAGCTCCGGAGGAACCTGCCCCATGTCCTTACCTCCACGGACACGGCTTTGTCTGCGCTCTTCTTGCTGGGAGTCTCCGGACCCGTCTGGGTCTTGGCAGGCACCATCTCCGGAGCTCGGGAAGGGTTATTGCTCTTGGAGGGGTGGGTCTGGGTCTGGGGGGGGCTGTGCCCGAAGCTGGGCATGCCCAGGGTCTCGGTGGCAGCCGTCAGGTGGTGGAGGCTCACCGGGGGGCTGGTGGGCATCTCCAGCTCCAGCCCTTTGCTGAAGTCCGTCTCGGGGGCCATCTTCTTGGGGGACTGGCTGAGGGTGTTGGGGGGGGTCCACACGCCCTCATCCACTTGCCTGCAGGGGACAGAGGGAAGGCGCTGGGTCACTGCAGCCCCTGCAAGCGGCTCCGCCAAGACCCTTGCTCGGTGTTTGTGTTCCACGGCTGAGACCCCCGAGAGCTGGGAAGAGCTGGAGACGAGCCCCAGCCTCCCTCGGCAGGGCGCATCAGCAGCTCCGCTACCTGCCTGTCCCTTGGCATGAAGCTTGGAAGAAATCGGATCCCTCCAAGTTCTGCCCCTCTGTCAGATCTGGCTGCAATTGCCCTCTGGATTCAGAAGTTATTAGGAAAGGGGAATGACAGGCGGGCAGATTCATGCTCCGTGTGATCACACGAGCTCATTTCCATAGAAAACCAGGCTAGAAACGAGCCTGAGGCGAGCCCCGCTGGCGGAGCGCTCCTCGAGCCTGGCCAAGTTGTAAGCTCTGGTGAAAGGTTCTGTAATCAGAGCAGGCAGGTGGGTGCAGTGCCTCCGCCACTGGATTGGGGGGAGGATTTTCTCCATCAGAAGAGTTTTCTGCTCCTCGGGAAAGAGATTTCTGACCACATCAAGTGTTCCCATTGCATGCAGATGTATGACCAGTTTTTTTCAGGGTGGCAAGGAAAGATTGGTTTTGAAAGAGGGGTTCCCATGTACGCCCTGAGAAGGACCGGGGGCATCTTTTAGTTCCTTAGCAGAAAAAATGAACCTTTTTTTCAATGTCTCTGGGAATTCTGACCCCTAACATAGAGAGGACACTGGCACAGCGGTGGAGGACACAGAAGCATCCGAAGGGCCCTGCTGTGTCCTCCGAGGTGCATACAACCCCCTCCTGCCTGCAGGGGAAGGACCGTGGGGCTGCAAGGAGGACGTGGAGCAGGGGCTGTGGGGCAGGGGCTGGGCTGGGGGCTCGGCGCTCACCTGCGGATCTGGGCGAGGGTGTCCGTCACCGTCTTGCAGCGCTTGAGCAGCCCGTCCAGGCGGTTGGGCTCCTCCTTGAGGAACTTCACGGCTTCCACCTCCACCCGCAGCACCACCCGCATCTTGCTCTGCAGGCTGGGGAACTGGGCTGTGGTGGGAGAGGGGGGTCAGGGGGCACTGCAGGGGACCCCACACCCACCGAGACCACCGCAGCCACCGTGTCCGGATGGATGGGTCCCGGGGAGCCCAGGCTGTTGTCTCTCCACCTCCCCATGCCCCTCATCCCTCCCTGTCTCTTGCAGGCACTGGTCCCAGCCCCCGGAGCCAGGACTTGGTCACCGGGACCCTGTAGGCTTGGTGGCAGGGGACACAGAACAGGTTGCTCCTGGCTGCCCACCCCTGCTCCACGCACTTGTCCTGGCTGCTCAGCATCAGCCGATCTCCCTGCAGGACAGGGGAGCTGCTCCCAGCTCTGCCCCATGCCCCCAGGCCCTCCCCACATCCCCGCCGTGTCCCCACCGTGTCCCTGCCTCTCGCAGCCTGAGCGACTTCTGCCAAGTCCCCGCTCCGTCTGCCCGCGCTGTGGCACGCAGCAGCTCTGCCACTTCGGATCGAGGCGCAGGGCGTCTGCTGGGGGACGGCAGGGAGGGGACAGCCGGGGACAGGAGACTGCAGGAGCAGCAAAATCGCTGCAGAGCGTGCAGGGGGGCGAGAGCAACGTCCCCTGGGGCAGCAGTGTGAAGCATGGGGGAGCTGGCAGAGGGACTCGGGGTGACTTTGGCACCGGCAGAGCACCAGGGACGCATCCCTGGGAGCAGCACTCAGCAGGAGCACGGGGCACAGCCCCTGCACCCGGGCAGCCTGCAGGACACACGATGCCACCCTGCACTGGCACCTGGGGCATGGACACACCACGTAGAGCAGAACGGGCTCCAAAGATGCATTTACCCAGACCTGGAGCCACGCAGCAGCACCAATGGGGGCTGACAGCATCCTCCCCCTCCCCAGCACCCAGCCCCTTCCTCACCCTTGAGGTCTGTCAGCGTCTCCCCCAGCTGCTTGAGCACCACGGCCTTCTCCTCCAGCTCCTGCACGGGGATGAGCCGGTGGTTGTGGGCCAGGTCCTTCTGGATCTTCTCCACCGACTTCTCCAGGTCACTGCGAGCACAAAGCAGGGCCCGGGGTGTCACTGCTGCGCCGGGACGCTGGAGACCCCAGGGAGGAGCTGGTGGCCATGAGCAGGTCCCCACGGGACAGGGGGGAGCCGTGTCCTCCCTCCCACGCTGGGCACACGGTCAGGGATGGGGCTGGCAGCCACGCGGTGCCTCTGTTTTACACCAGCTGAGGATGTGGCCCGGGGAGGGGGTCATGGCAAAAGGACACCCCCCTGCGTGCTCACTTCAGCTGCTGGGTGATGAGCTCCTCCTCGTTGAGGTACCGGAGCCGCTCCTCTTCCACCAGGCTGCGCTGGCGCTGCAGGGGGTCCTCGTGCTTGCGCATGGTGTCGGTCACCCGCACGCTGATCTCCGTCTCCGTCCTCCGCAGCATCGTCTTCACCGTCTCCTGGTTCTGCAGCTGGGGGTGGGGGGCAAGGGAGGGGGTCAGGCTGCTGGCTGGGCAAGCTGCCCCGCAAGAAGGTGGCCAGGAAAGGGGGGGATTTTTGCGCTCCTGGGCTGGAGCCTGCCGGCCAGAGCTGGGCAGGGTGGGGGGCCCCCACCTGTGTACCCACCTGCAGCTTCTTGAGCTGCTGCAGCTGGTTGCGGAGGTCGCTGGCGTTCTGCTGCAGGTCGTGGAGGTGCAGCTGCATGTGCAGGCGGGTGATGGCCGTGGGCTGCCCCGCTGGCGTGCTGGTGGCAGAGGGCGGTGGGGGCGCGGGCACCGGGGTCCCCATGCCGCTGCGGCTGGTGGCTGCAGGGGGCAAGCAGCAGCTGCTGAGGGAAGGCACCACCCGGTCCCAGCGGGGTTTTCCCGGGGAACCCTCTCCTTCCCCACTCTGCTCCAGTCCAGCACTGCCCCTGCCTGGCCTCCAAAGCTGCCATCAGCTCTGTCCCCATGCTGGCACCAAGGTGAGCCCGGATCGGAGCTGCCCCCTGGCAGGATGGGACCCCCCCCCCCAGGTTCTGGCATGGGATGGGGCTGCAGCAGCACAGCTCCTGGGGCCAGGGACCCACAGCAACCCTGGGACATGGGGGGCACTGTGGGGGGGTGGCTCTGCAGCTCCCCCCTGCCACTTACACGCTGATGGGGGGGTCCCGCCGTTGGTGGCTTCTGTCTTCTCACTGCAACGAAAGAGAGGAGGGGGTGAGCGCAGATCAGGCACCTCCGCCCTCTCCAGCACTTTGCCTGGAGGAGGCCCCCCCGGGTCCACGCCTGCCCCCCCTGCCCCTTACCTGGGGGTCTCAGCCTCGGAGCCGCGGAGCAGCGCGCTCTGCACCAGCCCGGTCAGGCTGGCGATCTGCTTCTCCATCGCCTCCATCCGCTCCCTGGGAGGGAGGCAGGGGGTGAGGAGGGGGCACGGCACCGCGGACCCCCCGATGGCACGGCTTGTCCTGGCCTCACCCGCGCTCACCCACCCGGTGCTGGGGTCCATGCAGGTCCCAGGGGGGGCACAGGGGGCACAGTGCAGCCGTCAGCTGCCGTACCCAACCCCTTTGCTCCCTCCCACTGCCCCCAGGTGGCTCCCCCAGCCCCGCACAGCTCGGTGCTCATCGCGCACCCCAGTGCTTCTACTGGGATGGACTGGGGCAAACTTGGCCCTGCTCCACCTCAGCTCCCCTCTGGCATCGTGGTGACCTGCAAGCAGAGCCCCCTTTCCACGGGGATGCTCCCCCCGTGCCCTTCCTCACCTCGTCTCTGTATCCTTGGCTGGCACCGGGGAGCTGAACCCCGAGAGCGGACGGTCACCGGGGCCGGGGAAGAGCTCAGGGGGCCCCGAGGCACTGGGGTTGCGGGGTTTGCTGACGGGGCTGTCCATGAAGACGGAGGAGCAGGAGTCCTTGCGGAAGGACTGGCGGACGGGCGAGGAGCGGCTGGGCGGCCCCGAGTAGGGGCTGTGGGGGCTCTGCCCCGGCTGCACGTCCACCAGGCGGCCGTCGGACATCTTCTGCGGGGACGAGGGGGGCATGCGGAAGCCCAGGCCGGGGCCGTACGTGTCGCTGTAGATCTGCGCGTTGGGCTTGTAGAGCCCGTCCTCCAGCTCCGTCTGCAAGGCGGCCGCCGAGTAGGTGCTGAGGGAGCGAACGGAGCCCCGCTTGTAGAGCCCCCCCGAGTAGCCAAAAGGGTCCCCCATGCCGGCCAGGGACTGTGTGGAGGTGATGCTGAGCCGGCCCTCGTGCACCATGCCGTAGGGGTCGGCGTACAGCCCCTCGTTCTTCACCAGCACCATGTTCTTCCCGGCCAGGTCCTCGTCCGGTTTCACATCGCGGCGCTCCAGGATGGCGCTGGGGCTGGGCGAGACGCCCGGCGCGGGCGGCAGGTTGGAGAGGCGCTCGCCGTGGTGGACGGGGCTGCCGGCGTAGGAGGGCGGGCGGCCCCCGCTGTAGGACATGCGGGAGCGGGACGGGGACGAGGACTGCAGCACGGGCGGAGGGGAGCCGGAGGCCAGGTGGGAGGCCGGGGACATGTTGTTCAGCCGGCGGGTGGGAGATGACTCCCGGGAGGTGTAGACCATCTCCCGCTGCAGAAAGGGGCAGGGGTCGTCACACGGCGTCCCTGAGCCCCTTCCCTGTCCCAGCCCTGCCCTGGTGTCCCCTCTCCAAGGACCGGGAGCTGCAGCTCGCACGTCCTCACCTGGCCTTGGCAAACAGCAGCTCCCTCCTTCCCATCCCCGGGAGCAGGATGATTTATTCTGATGAATCCCCGAATTATCATGTTTATCACCCCCCTGTCAGGCCCCAAACATCCATTCTTTTAAGGCAACACTTAACAATGCTGGGACCGGGGAAGAGGAATGGCAGTCATTACTCCTTCCACAAACACAAAGCAATTACCCGGCCCTCCATCTCCATCACTTTCCCTCTCCCAGAGCCCAGCCCCGCACCCTGGGGCTCAGCCCTGCCCCGGGCACCCAGCCCCTTACCCTCAGGTCGCCGTTGGTGATGTGGGAGGCTGGGAAGGAGGCGTAGAGCGGCTCTTTCCGGTAGATTTTAATGATGCTCCTGTCCTGGATATCACTGCAAGCAGAGGCAGAGCCGTGAGCCGGCACCGGCAGCCTCCCAGCCCCGGCACTGCACCCACGCCCCCCCTGCTGCTCGCAGACTACTGATGGCTCCGTTTTAACGCCCTCAAAGAAGCAGAAATCAATGTCAGGGATCCCCTGAGAGAAGCCAGGTCAAGGTCTGCAGCACCAGGGGCTGGTTTAGCTCAGTAGGGATGAGCAAGCTTTGCCCGCCGTGGTCCCTTTTGAAGGCATTCACCCCCCACCAGCCCTTTGTTTCCTCCCCCATTTCCAAGGAAATCCTTCCCCGTTGCAAGAACCTTTCCATCCCTGCTGGAAAGGGAGACACCGGACTACGACCGCAGGCAGCGAGGCTGCCGACATCAGCTTGCCTCCGAGATGGATGAAAAATGCAAACTGATGTGCTCAGCACCCCGTGCCAGGAGCAAGCCAGGAGGGTTTGTGCCAGGAGGAAGGCTGGGGGGCTGCTGCTCCCTCCCTGCCCGAGTTCCCGAGCTCCCCCCGCGTGTGCCCGCCCCTCACCGGACATCCTCCAGCTCGTAGAAGACGTTGCGCGACTCGTCCTTGATGAGGATGGCAGTGTTGGGGGATTTCAGCATCCCCATCGTGAGCTTCTGGGGGAACATGTGGACGATGAGGGCGTGCAGGGTGTCCATGCTGCTGATCTCGTGGGTGATGTGGACGCGCCTCGTCTCGTCCCCAAACTGCAGGAACAGGACCCCTGGAAGCAGAGCACCCCGATGCCATGCTGGTGACGTGCCACGGGCAGGATTTGTGCCCCGGGTGCCTCCCCCAGCCCCTGGGGCAGCTCATCCCTGACCCCCGCAGTGCCGGTACCTGGCGAGCGCAGCTTCGTCTGGCTGGTGGAGCGGGACAGGGGCAGGCTCTGCCGGAACCGATTCATCCTGTTGAAGCCCAGGGGCAGCTCCGCTTCCGACATGGTTTCCAGCGATTCGGCCGAGGCGAAGGAGAGCTTGGCTTGGTCGGCCAGGCCAGGCTGGGAACCCTGCGAGTGCCGGGAGCTCCTGGTCTGCAAGGGGACAGCGGGGAGGTGAGGGGAGCGGGGTGCCCGGCCCCGTGCCCCTCCGCTCCCCAGGAGCCTCGTGCAGGATGCTGGCAATGCTGAGCCGTGTCTGGGGGTGCTGAGCCCCCTCCCAGCTGGACCCATGGGCACAGCACCGGGCTCAGCATCCCCTCCGCCCGCTGCACCCAGGCGTGCCCCTCGGTGCCTGCAGCCCCCTGCCCGTGTTTCCCACTTGAGGCTCGCAGCACTCCGCGTCCCAAAGCCTCCCAGCACCATCCCAGGCGCCTTCGAGTTCCTCCAGCAGCAACCCACTCGAAATAAAAGCAGCGATCGCTGGCTGGCAACGGAGCCAGGGCTTGCATGCGAGCACTGGAATAACCTTAGCAATTACAGGAGGTTACACATCCATTACGCCAATGAACCAGCTCCCGGGAAACATAAATGCCGGGCTTATTCTGGAAGCAAAGCAGCGGCAAGGTTTATGGCTGCCTGAGCCGGGGGAAAGTAATGGGTTTGGGTTTACAGCAGTGAAAATTTAATATGCCAGGAGTCCAATTTCACATGGCCAAGCATATATCCCTGCATGAAATTCAGGCTACAGACATGGGCTTTCTGTACAAATGTCCTTACGCCCTGTATGGGGGCTCTGTGCATGTGGACAGGATGGTGCCTGCCAGGGGGAGGTCAGCACACTGACACCCAGTAGCACCCAGTGACACCCAGTAACACCCAGTGACACCCAGTGACACCCAGTGACACCCAGTGACCCTCCTGGAACGGCAGCGGCCATGGCTGGAGCTGCTCCTGCCCCTTCCAGGGTCGGGCTGAAATGGGGGGCAATTTATGGGGTGGCCCCCACAGCAGGCAGAAGGGGTCTTTGTGCAGGATAAACTCACTGAGCAGCGGTGCCAGGGCACAGCCGTGCCCAGGGGCTGCATCCACCCCGTCCACAGCTGAGCCAGGGGTCGGACAGGCAGACAGACGGACGGACAGACAGACAGACAGACACTGCGCGAGCAGGTCTGGGTCCCGCAGGTGCCCACCCACACAGCGGAGCACACGCTGCCTGTCAACGCCCGGGCTGCAGGCCCCGATTTTCCAGACACACGTTGAACGTGGGCAAATCAAACAGAGAGAACAAACAGCTCCCGGGGTGTGGAAAAGGCGGCGTGGAAGGGACAACAGCTCTATTTTAAGACCAAAAAGAAAAATCAATATGAAATGATAACAGCCATCACCGTCATTTAAATCAGACATTAATTGGAGGATTTAATTAATCCTGTGGGGCGGGGTTTTCCAGGACGTGAAATGTTCTCGCTGCAGCTAATTGCTGGAAAATTGACTGCTTAGTTTTGCTGCTGTTGTCTCAGCGCGAGGCTCGCAGGCAGCGCAGATGCTGAAATTCTTCCGTCGGGGGGGGGTCCCAGGTGGGATCCCACCCCCGGCCAGCGCCCTGCCCCCGGTACGTGTTCGGTCTGGAGAAAAGAATCATTAAAAAATGGATTTCATCCGGGGGGGGTCTCTGTCTCTCCCTCCCCGAAGCACGGCTGGGATGGCTGTCGCCACGTCGCATCGCTGTTGCCATGGGTTGCGGTGTGCGCATCCCAGCTCAGCACCCGAACGCACGGCACGCAGCGGGGCTGGGGTGGGCTGGGGTGGACTGGGGTGGACTGGGGACAGCTGCCCCTGCACGGCCCCTGCTCCTGGCCCCAATGAACCCGGACCCTGCCTGCCCTCTGCCTCCACCCCAGGGGCTTCAGCCGGCCTCAAGTAATTAAGCCGCTCGGATGGAGCTAATTATGGCATCCTCAAAAAAAAAATGAAAAAAGAAAAAAAAAGAGAAGAAGGAGGAAAAAATCCCAGCGAGATGAAAATTAATGGATTTTTGGCCCGGAAGGGACCGCTCTGCTCGTTAGGCTGATGCTCAGCCTGGCATGCAGAGGGACCAGCAGCAGCCGAAGGGATGCGCCCGGGCAGCGCAGCCCCAGCAGGGGCAGGATCGGTGCCTGCATCGCTCCCCAAGGTGGAAGAGGGGCTGAGCAGCCCCCAGTGCTGCAGGGGGGGGCTCTGCCCTTTCTTGCCAGTGGCCTTTCCAGCCACAAGGGCTGGCGGGGGGCACCTACGGGGTCGGGGCACCCGCAGAGCCCCAGGCAGGAGCCGGCAGCTCCGTCCTTGGCCTCCCATGGACCGTTAATGAGACGACTCCGAGGGAATTGTTTTTTATTGCTCTGCCTCGCTAACGACTTATCCCGCTATCAGGTAATACAGCTCGGCCCCCACACATCCTGATGGCAAATGGGCACCCGGATCCCTGCCCCTGCTTTCCTGGAGATGCCGGGGGGGGCCCAATCCTGCCTTGCTGGGTGCCAGATAAAGCCTTGGGCTGGGCAGTGCCTGGGACCCGTCTGTAGCAGCAGCTCCACCGCCAGGAGGGTACTGAGAGCCCCCCGGAGCTGCCAGGGGGAACCTGGTGCTGGGCTGAGCACTGCCCCGATGCCGGGGTGGGGGCTGTGTCATTGCCTCCTCCCCGCACACACAGCTCGGGCTCCACGAGCATCTGCCAGGGCCCGTGCTCAGGTGCTGGATCTGAGCTCTCATTCCCATGCACGATGAGAACCAAACACCAACCCTCACACGACTCCAGAAGGGAAATCTCTTTCTCCGTCTGGCCCAGCGCGTCTCACGCCCTGCAGCTGGGGAGCGAGATATCAGAGGCTGCAGCAGCCGAGGAGAGGAGCATCCTCCTCCCCCAGAGCATCCTTCATCCCCCGGCCTTATCTCCCTGCCTGCTGCACAGCGCGGCCCCACGGCTGAGCAACCGGGCTGGGAAGGGATTGATGCTGGTGGCAGCTGGGGGTGCAGGATAAATCCTGGGTGCAGCCACGCTCTGCACGGAGGCAGCCTCAGGACCCCCAGCCTGGGAGCGAAGGTGCTCAGCCCCCTCCCGCTCCGTTATGCTCCAGAGCCCCGGTGCAGAGCTCAGCACCCTGCAGCTTCCAAAGAGCCGATGTCCCCCACGTGTCCCCAGCACCGAGGTTTTCCCCGTGGCATCTGAGATCCACGGCGGCAGCGAGCGGCCGGGTGGAGGGGGGAGAGCATCCCCCTCGCCGCGGTGATGCCACGCTGGGAGATGACCCATTTCTTGCTGAACGAGCATCACAGCACCGGGGTAACAGCACCAGGGTAACACAGCACCGGGGTGACACAGCACTGGGGTGACACAGCACTGGGGTCACACAGCACCGGGGTCACACAGCACCGGGGTCCCCGCGCTGTGCCCTGGTGGCAGCACGGCACAGCCCCGAGCGTGGGAAGCAGCAGCGGGTTCATGGGCAGAGCACGGAGGGGAAGCCGAGGAGTAAAAGTGCCCAGAAGCCAAACAAAGCTGCCCAAGGCCAGCAGGCAGCTGCTCCAGCCCCGCACCGAGGGAGGGAAGCCCAGCAAGGAGCTCGCTTTGGGGGGGGGCAGAGATGTGATGGCTGCAGGGACAGGCAGCAGGGGCAGGGGGACTGCAGCCTGCCCCAAAATGAAACCCGTTCACCTGCCCCGGGGCACTTCACAGCCCCCGGTACCTCCTGGAAGCTAGAGCAGAGGAAATCTCCCTGGTGCAGAGGCATCAGCAAGAGCGTCTCCAGCCTGGGACAGTGCCAGGGGTGCTGTTTGGGTGATTTGCCCACCAAAAGCCCCTCGCAGAGCGTTTGGCTCCCCAGACCCCCAGGAAGGCAGCACTGCCCCCCACCCGGCTCTGTGCTGCCCCGGGAGCCTTATGTAAAAGAGGTGGGATGGGGAAAGGGGGGGACTTGGGGGCCTTTGTCTTTTATCTCCCCAGAGCTAAAAAAAGACACAATTAAGCAATTCTTTTAGCTCCTAAAACTTCCAACAATCCCTTTCCTGTCAGTGCTGAAGCAGCTTCATTATATCTGCCTGGCTAGATAAGGATGTTCCTCTCCTCCTCCTCCCGCCCCTTGTCTCCATCCCCCCCCCTCTGCCCTGCTCCCTCCCTGCCAGCTTCCAGGGAGCTGAGGTCTGAGCGGTGCCCGGAGGATTTGGGTGAGATGGGGGCTCTCCCATGGGTGCTGTGTGATGGGTGCTGTGTGATGGGTGCTGCAGCCACCCCGATGCTTAGGGACAGGCTTTGGTCTTGATGGAGGCAGGGAGGGGGAACTGACCTCACCAGGATTTTTGGAAAGCAGACAGGAGGCAAAGAGGAGCAGCAGAGTGCCGGGACAGACCCTGCCTCGGGGTGGAGCAGGGCACTCCGCGGCTGTTCCCGTGCAAACCTCAAAGCCACCCGAGCTGCTCTCCCTCCTCAATTCTTCCACCCACTTGCTAGCGCCAGGCAGCGAGCCTGACCCCTCAGAGAGACCCCACAAGGGAGCAAAGGGTCTGTCGCAGCGGGGACAGCACCTTGCCCCTGCCCAAGGAGGGCTCCAGGGGCGGTTTGTACTCGTATTAGAAAAAGCAGCCATTTACAGCCCGTTTCTGCTGTCCCTCTGCACATCACACACAGCAGCACTCAGAAAATGCCGTGTTCAGCCCACGGGGTCAGAGCATTTACAGCACCGAGCCCAAGCAGCAAAAGGGGGGTCCCTCCGCACCCCTTGGAGATGCACCCAGGGCACAGGGCTCCGCTCCACCCAGCACAACCCCAGCTCCATCCCGGCCCCTCTCCCTCCCCAGAACCACCCGAACTCAGCCCACAGACCCCAGTACAGACCTGTACCTGCAGCTGGGCAGGCTCAGCCCTCGCCGTGCTAACATCCCAGGCAGCCTCCAGCCCTGGGCGCAGACCCCGGCACCTCCAGGAGAAGCCCCCAGGCGGCTGCCCGAGCTGGGCTGGAGCAGGGTGGTCGTGCCGGGGGGTGGCAGCTGCCCCCAGCCCTGCCCTGGCCACGCTCCATCCTTCTGTTTTTGCAGGGATAAGGCGCTGCAAGGTGCTCAGGGCAGGTGGGCTGGGGGCGCATCGCCCTGCTGCGGGGGGACGGGGACCTGGGCAGGTCCCACCC